TTCGGACGCATCCGGGAACTGATGGGAGATAACAGCGCCTAGGCCATACGCTGAAGCGTCTGCAGCTACGATGATCGGCATGGCTGGATCGTAGTGTGTCAACAGCAATTCCGAACTAATAATGGACTTCAGTTTACAAAAGGCAGCGTCACACTGTTTGTCAGTTCCAAGAGCTGTTCTTCTGCAGTAAGCTATTGAGTGGAGCGCGAATATCATGCATCGATGGAACGAACGCTGAGTAATAGCTGACAAGTCCCAGGAAGGAACGTAGTGACGAGACATTAGTGGGAGTGGGCATCAGTTTGATAGCTCGGATATTCTCAGGATCCGGCCTGCGGCCGTCGGCATCGAAAATGAACCCCAAGTACTTTACCGACTGCAAATAAAACTGGCATTTCTCTGGGAGTAACCGGAACCCGTTGTCACTGATGCGTTGCAGTACCAATGTCGTGCGTTCTCGTAGCTGTTCTAATGTCGTCGCTACAATTAAAATGTCATCCAGATAAGCCGCGACCCCCGAGATACCTGATAGGATGGTATCCATTAGTTGCTGGAAAATAGGTGGTGCAGTTTTGACCCCGAAAGGTAGACGGTTATACTGGAACAAACCACGAATGGGTATTGATAGTTAACAGCTCTCTTGATGCTTCATCTACTTCCACTTGCAAATAAGCATCAGCTAGATCCAGCTTAGCGGAAAATCCTTCCCCCATTCAGCATGGTAAATAGGTCTGCGGGAACAGGCAGGGGATAATGATGTTGTTCCAGAGCTGCATTGAGACCTGTTGAAAAGTCAGCACATATACGTATCGTGCCGTTGGCCTTCTTAATAACCACAATAGGTGCTGCCCATGCAGAATAGGAAACGGGAGTAATAACTCCTTGTTGTTGAAGGCGGTTCAATTCTTCATCTACTGTTTGTAATGTTGCATAAGGCACAGGTCTCTTTGGGCGAAAGGCAGGCTTAGCCCCAGTTTTCAATCGAAGTGTTGCTTTCATGGCAGAGCAGTGACCCAATCCAGGTTGGAAAATAATTGAAAACTGCGTCATTAGGTTCCTCGTATATGCTTCCAAGTCATGTGGTTGTTGTCGTAGTTGGGGTTGTGATACCAGGTTGCATATGGTATTCAACGGGACATCAGCTAAACCGAGCAAATTTAGATCAGCTGGCGTTATGTAACATACCCCAACAAATGCCGAATCACGGAAAGTAACTGTACATTCCATTTTTCTTAACAGGTGAAGGTAATTACCACACGCAGTACGAGGCTTTTGCGTTGTACGCTGCAAGTTTGGGCTGCCCATTTTGGTCCAAGTCTTACGAGAGAGGATAGTGACATCTGATGCAGTATCTATTTGCAATCTAGATGAATGCCCATTAATATTAACAGTAATAAATTTTCTCTCACTGGTGATGAGCTTTGACACGAAGATACTAAGCTCAATGAATTGGTGGGGGATCAAGGAAGGGTCTTTTTGGTATTTCTCGATTGACTTGGATTCTTCTTCCTCAGACAAAACCCATCTTTATGACCAATAACCTTACACTCTTTGCATCGATGTTGCTTAAATGGGCAGTTTCGAATGTAGTGCCAGCAAGGAACAGGAGGAGTTGCTTTAGTCTGTCGTCTCGAGCTGGAGTGGGATGGACTGGATGAAGCGGGGACGTATTTGTTTTTGTAAGGTGTCTGTTGCACCGCTCGTACTTCAGATCGGCTAGACCCACCACTGTGGACCATAGAAGTGTCTCGTTGCAGATTATTGAGACGTTGACATTCATTAGCTATATCACTCAGGGTGAGTTTCGGTTCTTGATCCAACCGACTAATAGCCTTGTTCGTAAGTCACTGAACTTTTGGTGCTGCAGGCTGCAAATAAGGATCAGGGCTTTAAGCTGATCTTCAGTCAAGGACTTTAACCGGAAGCGTTCGCGTTCACGGTTGACGACGCCCACATTGCAGTAAGAAAATCATTTCTTCGTTCATAGTTAGCTTCAAGCATCGATAACGAGTATTAAACAGTGACGAGTTATCGCCAGGATGTTGGCTTAATGTTTGAACTGTGTCTGCAAATGATCGGTCACGTGGGTTCAAAGGCAGGATCAGATTGCAATACTCGTCCAGCTCAGTTGCACCCAATTTACGAAGTAGCGGCCGCACTTTCCAAGCATCATCTTGATTGGCGAAATCAAATTTAAATAGATCTTCATAACGCCTGAACCACATCTCAAAAGTACCATTAGAATCAGGATCGTAATGGAATTCAGCTATACTATTTGCGATGCCATCTACCGATGTTCCGTGGTTGAACTAGACGCGCTTGGCTGTAAGGGAGGCGCAACCTTGGTCTCCGTCAACATTTGCATCAATTTCAGCTGCTGCTCAAGTAACAGTTCAAGTTTGGAAGGGTCCATCAATGAAAAACCACCGTCGCCAAATTGTTGGGTTCATTAAGCTTGAACGCTACTACTCATTTGACTTATTCGGAACAGCAGATGCCAAGTCAGGTCAAGCACACAAATCAAGCGTATTTATACAAATATTTACAATCGATATTGTCATGGTAAATTTTTAAACATTAATCAATAAGTTAGTCAATTGACTGCTATTTAACATTTGATCGGTAGTTCATCAATTGACCTGTTTGCACTTTAATCGATAAGTTCATCAATTGAGTCCCATACAAATATTTAAACATTTATTCGATAAAATTAAAAAATATGAGTTTTGGGGATCTATCGTCCCCAACAATCCTCACAGAGTCAAGTTTGTTTCGCTTTAAGTGAGTACTTGTTATCAAGGATGTAAGTGCACCAAAGTCTTTTCTTATTCGTTTTTCCTCTCAGGCATTCATTTCCTCGCAGTCGAGACATCCATTTCGAGAATAATTTAAATGGAAACAGATTTGTTTGATTCTGCAGGGAAAACTTAATAATTATTATAGCTAGTGTCCAGTGGTATTTCATGTTTGATTTGTTTAAAGAGATTTCGGTTTTTGATGTTTCGCATTCCAGCGTCCAGCTTTTGCTGCAACATCACTATTCACAGTATTATGTTCTTCGCTTTCAGTTCTCAGGATACTAGACAAACGATCACCAGCTTTCTTGCTAGGCAACACCTAAAAACTACATGTCTCTTGAATCCGTGATGCCTTGCTCGAACAGCACAACATGTAACGTTAATGGGAGTTAGACATTGAGCAACCTCTGTATACAGTAGGATTTTAAAAACTTCACATCATACAGAACCACTTTCGCATACATCAATCTGCACTTCTTCCTCCACATGGAAAGAAGAATAAGACTGATCACATTTGTGAATAAAGCCAAACATTTAAAAAGGAAATAAAGGTGTAAACTACTGAAAAATACACAAATTGAACACTAGTGTGATAACCTAATGGACATAGAGTACCACTAAACGGACCGCAAGAAAATCCTAAACCTTAACTAAAATAGATAATTTTAAAGTTTAAAAATTCTTTTGACTCAACAAATACACAAAAGCAAAGTTTATTCTCTACAGTAACCAAATCTGTCCTTTTTTAAAACGCGCTCAATAAGTACTTCGTTCCTCACCCTTCAATACTACATGCCCTATATACAACATACTGTTTTCATAAATTTATCATCCTTTTTCATATAATTCGCGAATATATTATATTTTATCATGTTTTTTGTGTTTTAAACGGTGAGCACCATAGAGTTGAATACGCGTTTTTTTAAAATACTTTATAACACGTTTGAAGTCTTACACTATAAACTTCTTACTTTGATCGTAGGGATATCTCAGTTTGAAGAATATAATATTTTTGATTGGCTCATATTTTTTTATATGTAATTGAGTTTTATTAATCTTTGGTCCACGTTTCCTCTATTTCTTTTTTCCTTTTAGATTACTGGGCTTATTGTTCCTAACGCTTCCCAAGCACACAAGACACCCTAAGGCTAGGAGCAAACATAGAAAGGGCCGAACTTTATTCCTTATCGATGGCACTACCATTTCTTCCCGGATATAGTTTTAATAGAAATGTAAATTTATATTTCTTATGTATTTCTTAAGATTGGGAAAGAAAAGTTCCACAAATCACATTACCTGAAACTGGAAGGCGATGAAGCCTATATGCATGGCGATGACAAGCCAGGGATTGGCGGAGTAAAGCTACCAGGACAAAGAATCGATGCACCAACTAGCGTCTATCCATCTGGAATCGGTATTCAGTTCCCCGCATGGCTGGCGTTTGATAAACAGGTACGAAAAAAACGGAAATGTCATGTTTCATTTATCAAATAAATAGTAAAATACACAGGTACGTGGTGGTAAGTCAAAGGTATTTCGCAATACTTACAATGAAAGGTGGACGATCAACAATAAATAAATGTTGCAAAACTAGCAATTCTGAACACTCCTTTCTTAATATAAAGATGTTTTGGTCATGGTGAAATATAGATCCTTCCCGAACAAAAAGTTTATTACCATCGAGTTTTATATAATTTCCGAAGTTCTTATATGAGGTTCACAATCTGCTTTAAAGTACACCACATAAATCCTATTTTGGTTGTTAGTTAGCTAATTATTTACAGATCAAGAACTTTATTTCTAATACTAAAAGTTTGAAACAAAGAAAACGGTCAGTTTGTGCCGGCTTGTTTAAGATATATTGGGATTTCGAATCAATAATATTTTATTTTATTCTCCTATGTGATTTTCTGGTTTGTTTTCGTATTTTACAGTCTCATCAACTTAGAAAGTGGAGGAGAAAATAAGCTACTCCAATTTTTTTACTATAATGATCATAAAACTGGGACTTACACATTCGACTTCTATATCGACTGTATGTTTGCAAGTTTTATGAGCTATGTAGATTGATCTTTTTTTCCTTGTTCGCCTATCTCTTTCATGTTTGGCTCAAATGTTGTGGGTTTTCTTCGTTAGTTATCTGTGTAGACTTTTTGAGTCAGCGCTCATGATTTATATAAGTCTATTCCAATTATTCAATATATATTTTTGAGTATAGTGTGGTGGAGATTGTGATTTTACTTCTTGTAAGAACGGCATGAAAAATCCCACTAAGTTTTGAACTGTTTAATATTTATAGGCTCAATTTTCAGTTTTCGAAATCCGTTATTCCTTTTATGATTAAAAAATAAACTGTATGCTTAAGAAATTTCCCTCATTTGAAGGATCAAGACTAAGGCTCAGTTTTCTTTGTGATATAATAGAAATTAATCCCGTTTCCAAGTGATTATTCATATGTTAAGGAAAGTATTCCGCACACAGTAGGTTTGTTAGTTACATAAAATTTTAGAAAAGCTTTCTTTTATAACGATGTTATAGTCCTTTTGCAACTTTTCAAGTGAATATTTGTGCCAGTAATTAGGTTTTCTATTCAGCAATGAGTGCAAAAACGTTTTATTTGGCATTGACCCTGTAATTGATGTGCTTATAATCTGTTGAGACTGGAATACATGCAATTATATACATTATAAGGTACAGAAGTTGGTGTATTTTGACATAGAGTCAGTAGGATATTACCTATTACATCTATTGTAACTTCCATTTGGAGTATGTTTGGACTCGTCTTGAACATACCTGTTTCGGACATGTGAAAAGATTGGAGTAAGAAAGTGTGTGTTGTAAGTACCTACTTAACACAAAAACTAAAATATCTAGTTAGGAATAAAACTCTTTATAATTTGTATCAGCCTTAACTTAAGCGAGCAATGTTCAAGAACATGTAAACCTTAGCAGATATCCTAATAATACGAAATTCATCCTCCTACATTTTTACGAGGAGTTAAGTAGAAAGTGATTACATTTAAATGTGTTTTAGACTGATCGGGTCATAGTGGCTGTTGACTCAATGTAAGTGAATAATTAAATAGATGTAATGGTCACTTTTACCTCCCTACCTATCATGTGTGAATACACATTGTGCAGAATTAAATGTATCGATCTGATAAACGTCAGGGACCATTTGAAACATTTATATTTATTATTTAATGTTTGATATCACGTATGTGTCATATTTCTTAAAATATCTGGAGGATCGAACAAAGCTTATGGATTTACTTACAAATAACCGGGACCGTCATGGAAACTTACTGTTACAGTAAATGATGTAGAATTATTTTACTGTTCATCACACCCCAGATAAAATTCTGACTTATATCGATCGTTTTTGTTTGCGGCAATTTTTATCAATCCTACTTTTTCCACGTTTTCAACTAACAAACTAACTTTATTTTCTGATCTTTTACGACTAGGCCTTATCTTTGATGCTTATTTCCAAGAGTCCGTTAATGAAAGACGTGAAGAACAATATCGTATTAGAAAATGTAAAATCTTATTTTACCCAGAGGATGACACTATACAAGGTCGTTGAGCCACGTATAGCAAACACTGGAATGGCTCAGGGTAATTTATGCTATGATTTGATTCTGCTTTTTAATTCCATTTTAAAATGTTTCCTGTCTTAATCTGCCACTTTTCCTTCATTCTTAACTGTGTCGTGCAATCTGTTTGGCTATTTTCTCTGTCTTTGATTTTATTTCACATCATGTACTCTCCATTGAATTTTGAGATATTTGTGTTAGATGTTAATTTATAGCTGGAGTTATAATACCCCATAAAGCTTTCTATAAAGTATGTTTTCTTTTAAACAAAGCAAAAATTATAGTGAGTAAAGTTAACTTAGAGTTTTTAAAACTAAATGTTAAAGAATTTATGCTGGTATAGTTGGGTTGTTTAACACTACATCATTTCTACTTACAGCATTCTCTATTTTAGAAATAAACTGGTGTGTTAAAGAAATACCGATGTAAAGAATTATCATCCTCAATTCGTATATTTTACATGCGAATTTATAGGAAGTATTTAGCTACACCTATATAGTTTTAAGCAGTCTTGGCAAAACGTGTATTATCGTTGAAATTTATCTCAATAAATGATGAATATGATTGGTTACTATGGTAGCAGTCTCCATAACTGATTTAGTATCAGCTAAAGGAACATAACAGATAGTGAATCTTGAATAATTTAATTTGGAAAGCCCCAGAAAGTGAACATCATCTCGTATCTTCTATCTTAAACTTTGTTTTGAAGTTACCCAGTGAAAATTCATTTTATAGTCTCAAATAAATTCATCTTTAAACTAATACTTCATTGTTCATTTCTTGGGTCATCAACCTCACTGGCGTTTTATTCGAACAATCAATGACTCAAATTAAAACAGAGGTATTAAAAATGGTCTGTTATCAAAGTTCAACTGGTTTTGAACTTTTCGGTTCACATAACTTACCAGTGCCTATTTTCTGAGGTGATACTGGGTGGGTTAATAAAATATTCAACATAAATCGGGGTGTTGATAAATTTTCCAGAATGTTGACATGAAAAACTCAATGAAATACCATATAAAACAATGCTTAGCAATTCCTAACTTTTTATATATTACCGTCCTATTCTAAATGTCCTTTACAATCCTAGAATTGTGCATATATCAATAGGGTCCGTAAACTCAAATAACTGATTTATTATACTAAAAAAACGTAAGGTTTCGGAAAAAAAGAATTCAGCTATTGAGTAGTATATTTATATCAGTTCCAAAAACTATCTTATACAGCAGAAAATGAAAAAATATTTTGAGTATTATCCTAAAAAAGCTGATCAGTAGACAGATTAACACCCCTTCATTGTCACTGCATAACAATTTTTCAAGATTATAATTCATTAAAATGATCCAACAATAATTATTCTGATGTTACTTATTTATGAAGGGACAATTATTAAACGGCACCGTATTTCCAAACCTGTACCAAATGAACATCTCTATTATACTGTGCATGATTTCAATGTGGGAGCAGAGTTTGTAGCTTATGGTAAAACATTTCGAATTGTTTCTTGTGATCAATTTACATCAAATTTTTTACGTAAACTTGGTATAAAATTAGGTAAACCAGAATCAATACCAGATGATCCTTACAGTATTCATCGTAAAGCTGTAAGTAGGTTAGGTGTTTATTTCGTTTTAATTAATTTATCTTGTAAAAACGGTAAGTTATATTATTTTTATTATATCACTATATGTTATATTAAAACACTTTTAAGTACGTGTAATTGAATTCTGTTAAGGCTTTTATAAACAGTAGCATGTTTCTTGTAAAACTGTTATCTTGAGAAATAGGAAAAGTACTATCCATAATGGAAAACCAAAAAATATAAATTTATTGTTCACTGTTGGAGAAATAAATGTCACATCAGACCATAAAGTGATAAATCGCATTAATACATAAATAAGCCGAAAGTGGCTTTGAATGGGTAAGGACAGTAACTGATCAACCGTCGACAAACTAGCAATAATAAATCGTATGAGAGAAGTTTATAGGTTCATTTAAATCTTATTAAGAATGGAACGCATACACATAGCGTAGTGAACAAGAGCACGATTGGGGACAATTAGATGTAATTGACACGAAATTACGGAACATCTCACTTAAATCTGAGAAACATATAGTGAATACATAATTTGCAAAATATTATTTCGTTGTCTCAAACTTGACTGTTACTTTTGCGGATATCAGTCCGTTGTCTCAGATTTCATTGCTCATGTATTTTTATATCAATTGCGTTCCATTCCGTTCCCGTTCTTTCCTTCTCGATCTCCTACTGAAGTACATTCTATGGCTGTTATATACTCCTTATGTGGATATAAGTAGCTCACACCAAAATAGTAATCTGGGTTATTCAATAATTATACAAAAAATTATAATTAATAATGATTTGAAAGAAGTTCCAGATTTTAGAATATTCAGTTTCATTATTATATACCCTGTAAAAAGTAAAAATTTAATCTACCAAGTATTTACTATCTTCATTTTATATTAGTTTACTGAGAGTATGCAACCACTTAGACCATATGAAAGAATGGATAAACTTCGTCAATTTCTTGATCATGATCGTCATGTGTTGAGATTTTTCTGTTTTTGGGATGATACAGAATCACTTTATGGTGATCCTAGAGAAATGATATTAAATTATTTTCTAGGTAAGCTAATAAGTAATTATGATGAATAGGCCTTTTTAAGTACATGTTTGTTTGTTTGATGTATTGATCTAATAGAGAGAAATGAAAGATCATCCTATCAGTTTTCAGAACCTTGATTTTCATTTATAATTAATCATTGATTCTATATCGTACAGATTCAAAGTCCTGTATATGAATCATAGTTTTACTTCCTTATTTATTCAATTGACCAGGGGTCTTATTTATCTAGATCTATTTAATAGATATTTTAAGACCAATCGGTAATTTATCATTTACAGCTCCAATTGATCAAATTTATTTCTATATAATAATCAAGAAGTCTATCAATCAAAAAACAATGTTCGACATCACTAACTGTCTATGAAGTAGATGGTGGTTGTATACCTAATAGTATGAATAATAAGTCTTCCAGCTTGTTGAAATTACCAGCAGCCAAATTTAATAATTTCAGGAAACAGACGAAAAGTCTCAAAGTTCATCATCTACATCTTTTTTACACTTTCTGTGCTGAAAGGGGTATTTAAATAAAACTATTCTCAACAAACTATTTAACAAAAACAATTTAATTTTCAATTGAATGATTTTATTCTTGTAAAAAAACGTTTCAACTTTAGTTTACTTAAACATAAAACTCTTTATTTCGTCATTTGACACTAAAACGTGGTTTATCTTTTGTAGCCGATGATACAATTGAAATACGTGAAATTATACCAGCTAATTCAGGTCGTGATGCTGTACCATGCTTTTTACGCCGTCAAAAACTACCACGTACAATTGCATCAATACCGCTGCCGGGTGTAGTAACTGACAGAACATTATTAAATGTATTCGGTCATCCACAAAGAGGTGGACATTATATACTTGATAGTCTAAAGGTAATAATAAACGAAAAAAACGAAACTTTCCATTTTTCTTTAAAATATTGTTTATAAATGTAAATACATTCGTGGAAATTCTATGTTGTATGATTGAAATCGTCATATTAGTCATTACCGAGTGTTTAATCAAATTGATTATCTGAAATAGTCATGGGTTCGAATCTCGTGGCCTTTATATCCTAGTATGGGACTCCTCTATAGTGAGCATCTACGATCCCGCCCCGCGAGACTGATAGGTCCTGAGTTCGGATCTTGCAGGGTGGGATCGTGGATGCGCACTGTTAAGGAGTGCCACAATAGGACGAAACGGCCGTCCAGTGCTTCCAGGTTTTCTATGGTGGTCTAGCTTCAACTGACTCATGATCTTAACCATTGACATAGTTTTGTTTGGTAAATCACTTTGAATACTTCTTTAATAGTAATAATAACTTATGCAAAGAAATCTAGTATATTACAGGAATTAAAACCTTGATTTTTACTTGAGTAACCGGATTATATGATAAATGTTCTGCAAATTTTCAACACCTAATCAGTTTACAGATAATATTACTAAAAGTCAGTAGACTGTTCTTTACAAAGTAGATCTGAATAGGTTTAAACAAATGAGTCTAAAACTTGATGCCATAAGTGAAATTTACGTTTGGTTATCATTCAGTTGTTAAAGATATCTGTGTCTTAGACTAACAAATCAAGGTCATAGGTTCTTCTTACTGAAAATATACAACTATCTATACTCAATCATTTCTTACAAATATAATTGGCATTTTTATAACTTTAGTTTCTAATCAAAAGTATTAAACTGTAAAAATATTTACAGCATACTAAATATCTAATTACTATGATATTACTAGATTAAAATACAAATGTGTCAAGTTATTTAAGTAGTTTGAAAGTAATAAGGTTTACATCAGTAAAAAGTCAATAAATGGTTTTATTACAACCTATTCTTATATTCCTTGATGGAATGAGCTTATGATAAATTGTTAATTATTACTATTTCTATAGATTTATTAGGAAATGACCTTATCCAACATTAACATTTTAGGGTGTTAACCAATATAATAGAAATTTAATAAGTATTATTTTGGCTCCGGTCCACCAGGGTGCTTAGTACCTGTGTGGTTGCGCCGCAGGATTGAAATGTTTTTGCTCAGTTCTATATGATCTGGATAGGCTTATTTCAGAATTCCTTCCGTTTTTATACTAATCAGTTCAAATAGTTCAATTCAAGGACCTATAAAATATCCATATAAGCACTGTATTCTTGTTAATCATTGGGTGGTTATCAATGTCATGTGTGTCATGTCCTTATTGGTGCAGATCGAATGCTATCGACCAAGTTGTAATGTGGCCACCAGTCTAGGTGACTCGACACTGCATGCACTATTGTGAGATTAGATGGTGATCAGGATGTCGGTCGTGGGCCCGATAGCATAGTGGTAACGTCTCTGACTGTGAAGCTGTTTGACACGGGATCGGATCCGTCAGAGAGCACCAGTTCCCTCAAGATTACAGGTATACCTTGCTGACGAGTGTCAAGTAGCACGAAACCCGGGTGCAGGATTTCTTGTCAACTACCTCCAACCACCACCTTATGCCATTTGTTTCCTTAGGATACTGGAGCCCATGTGCACCACTGGTTTGGAATCAGTGTTTCCCAACTCCCCTATGTGAACCCTATATGTTCACTAACCTGGTTAAAGCCCCAGATATTCGCTTTTCGTGCTCTCATTTTCGTAAACAACACACTCGCCCCTAGAAGGAAATGAGTAGGACTTTCGTGGCAGTGGTTGTTTGCACGTGGCTATGTGAGAGCATTTCTAGAGGGAGAGCTGACACTCCTCATTCTCAGCCGTACCAGGACATTTGGGAGCGATATTGACTCTTGATAGAATCCAATAAATAACATTTATTTTTGAGGACTTTTGCTTAACAGTTTAATCTAATTTTAAAAGAGATGAAAAATAAACTTAGGAAATGTACCTTTTCACAAAATGTTAACCATTGTCTTTGTTTATTGTTTATAATTTTTATTTTAATGATATGCCATAATTAAAGTAAATGATCCACTTATTTCTTCATCTAACTAAAACTAGCTTGGTGCACCTAAAGATGACTTTACAAAGATCATGATTTAACAATCGGTGCAAATATTAATGTTTATGGTAGAAAGTTTTTAATTTGCGACTGTGATGAATTTACCAAAGAGTATTACCGTATCAAGTACGGCATACGTAAGTCAGTAATTTTCTCTTTGCATTACGATTACTAATTATAATGATGCCAATACATGACAAATTTGTTATGGTCACGATTTATGTCTCCAACTCATTCCCATACCATATTAGGATAGATCATTTCAAATTACTTAACAGTATGAGAAATTTGTAGAGATGGTTCTATTCGACGATAGTATCTATCACTGACCAAATTTAGTCAGACAATCAATAACAAGCAATATGCCGTTAACAACTTTTCGTCCTTTTCTAGAAATCATTAGCATTGGATAACATCCAGTAGCTACAGACTTTGTTATATGTTATATCCCAATAAGAATGATGAATGGTAATTTTTGGGATCCATTTATGGACCAATACTATGGGTATATTTTTATCATGCAATTGTTACGTAACTAAACTGTTCATATCCATGTCCCGCTTATTATGAGTTTTATTTCGATTTATGAACTATTATTATACGATTTACCATTCTTGAGTTATGGCCCGTCTATGAATTAATAACTCCCTCATTCACAGCCGCATTTGGCTAATTCTTGTGCAGATGTTGTTTCATATTTCATGGTACGTTTTGATCTGTCTGGTTGGTATATAAACCCAGTATGCTTGAAATAAACGATTCATATTACAGAGGCTGAGATTGGTGTTCTGAACTTAACTGGCTGGGCTGACAGGAAGCGAGACCAATAAGGAATCTAGGCTGCTCGCACATGTTTTATGTGTCACTGGTTCGATCGATAATTCGCTGCTCTCTGATTGGTAGTATCGTTACGTTATCCAATAAACAGGGCACACAGGTTCACAATTTATAACGTTATATGAGACAGGCATCATGGATCCCAATGGCTGATGATCACTCAATATTACGAATAAAATCCAAAACCAACTTAGCAGTATAAGCGTAACTCTCACTTAGCGAAGCCTGAAGTTCTTAGACTTGAAATTTGATAAAGCTGCTGATACATGCTGTTGAGCAGTCCTATATTGAGACGAAATAGCTGTTCACACATTTCTAGTTATTGCTTATTGTCTATCTTTAACTAGTTCATGATGTTAGCCACTTCCAAAGTAAGCTCCTTACGAGCAGCTAAAACTATTTATATAATTATTTCAACAATATCTCATGTTTTTTAGTCTACATGACTAGTTAAACTCATTGTATCAAGGCTGTATTGAGTCCATTTATTTAAGTAACTTAATAATGCACAAATCCATGAAGTCACCGACAAGTGGACTGAGCCATGTTGGTAGGTTTAGATTACCTGGTTGGGATCTGCGAGACGATAGCAACCGGTTGTTAGAGACCCTGAATGACATGGCTCAAAATCGTTTGCAATGGCACAGGTGCATCCGCTCTTTGTGTTCTCCCAAATTCTAATCTTCTGAATTATTCATGTCCCTTTTTCTCCTCCCAAACTTATTTCACTGGATTATACTCCTTGAATAATATCTTCAAACCCTAAACTTTCCGATTACTGCTTATACTTGTACTAACCCTACCACTATGAAATTTGAATAGGCAATTTTATCTCTGTGCTAATGTGGCACGGCAGTCAGTCATTCACGGCAACTCAACTGATGTATGTACGTACGAAGCCCTACATTGTTGCTGACTGACCGAATTATTCTAATGAAAAATAGAATAGAAGTGACACTCATAATTACAACTATTCCATGTTTATACATAATTTAGCTTTAGGGTCATTAGTTCAAATTACATGTGCAAAATAGAAACATGAAGAGGTTCACGCAGATATGTGATAGCTAAAGGGTTATACTTCTACTCGTAAAATACTACTATCAGATAATTCTAGAATGCACCAAAAGTCCTAAGGTAACATTACTCAACGTCATTTTCAGTGGCACAGATTTATTCGTTCCTTATTATCTTCTAAATTGAAAGTTGTGGGGACCTGATCTAATTCACAGCGCTAACAGGTCCAATGTTATTTCTGACTGACTGACCTACTGATTTAAGTTCTATAAGCTGAGGTAACTGATCAATTGCAGTTCTAAACATCATTGGGATGATCCATGCAAACAATACAAAAATTATACAAGTTCTCTTTGAAAATTAATATTTATGATTTATCACGATTAAATTTTGTTAATTCTTTGCAGAAGATTTCACCCCAGTTAAACCTAAGCTTCAAGATCATATCACCACTGTGAAACGTGAAATTCCACCATATAACGGTTGGGGTACTGATGAAGATTCACTAGCTAACTGTTATAGTTTAATACCAAAAGCACCAAATCATAATTTTAAAAAATTCATGGAATTAGACCGTCAAGGTTTAGAATCTCATGTTTTACGTTTTGCTGGACGTTTATCGTCTGACCGACCGACAGATCGTGATCGTCAGTTTGTGATTAGTTGCTACTTGTCAGATGATACAATTTCAATTTTTGAACCGCAACAAAAGAATTCAGGTTAGATATTTTATTTTCTAATCTTTTCCTCTTAATCATAATGATGATTATTTATTCTTTAGAATATCAATCTTTTCAATCCTTTATTCACTAATACTAGTAAAGGTTTACACTTCTAATGTATCCGACTGATGGATCCCAGATATAAAGAAACACACTGTCAACCATTATTCAAACTGTATCCTTTGATTTGTTTCTTAAAATGGAACTTATTAAACCCTAAATATTTAATAAGTCTTTAATTCACTGTGGCTCATTAACTAATTTTTAACCAAAAAAGAGTTAGTCATTATTCTAAGGTTCGAGTCTGGCTATTTCATCTTCGAAGTTGATAGACTACTTGCTAAGATATTCGAATTGTGTTAAACTAATAAAGTTATCTATACGTATATGTTTTAAACAAACGAAGTTTTCATATCAAAGATCTTAAAGAGATCATTGTTATTACACTATACAAATTCTTCATATAAAACTTTATTACATAAGTGTAAAGCTTTTTAAAATATTTTCACTTCAGTAGTTGAGGTCATGAGTCAATTGAAGATGGACCTACATGGAAAACGTGGAAGTATTGAAAGGCCTCACAATACAAAGAAACGGTCGTCCGGTGCTCCTAGGTTTCCATGGTGGTCTAGCTTCAATTGATTCATGATCCCAACTACTGAGATTTTATTATTGCCAATCCCTAAATCAAATCTACTTTTAAATCAGAAAAATTTGAATCTCTGACATTTCTCGATATTTTAATATTAAGAACAATAGATGACAGGAATGGGACAAGCATATTTACATGAAATATCACATGTTGAAAAATATATTAACTTAAATTGTTTTCTTTCCCTTCAGTACAAAAAGGATTTCATCTACAGAATTTAGTAAGTCAGGGTAGACACAGGGAATACTGTTGAAGAGCTAATAACATTAGTACACATGACTCTGTACGAAGAATTTACCAAGGTTAATACAATCAAAGTAGCAACTGAAAATCACTCAGCATGAATAAGCAACAACATAAGCAACTATTATTTTTTTACACTTCAATTCAAGGAGATTGCAATTATTGAAGTATTAACAAGAAAACTAAGAAAGATTATAGATGGAAAACTTACTTCACTCAAACTGTATATCGTTTATACACTTTGTTGTTTACTTTCTATACACGTCTATATGTACTTATAAATTCAGTTGTTCCTATAATAAGTATAAGTAAATAAGTAGTGTGGTGTGGGTTAAGGAGTATATAATGGTAGTCAGGCATAGAACGTATTTCAGTAGAAGATCGAGAAGGAAAGAACGGGAACGGAATGGAAATCAATTGGTATAAAAATGCATGAACAATGAAATCTGAGACAACGGACTGATATGCGCAAAAGTAACAGTCAAGTTTGAGACAATGAAATGATGTTTTTCAAATTATGTATTCACTATATGTTTCTCAGATTTAAGTGAGATGTTCCGTAATTTCGTGTCAAATACATCTGATTGTCCCCAATCGTGTTCTTGTTCAGTACAGTAGAATGATGTAGTATGTTCATCGTCGATTTCTTGGACTCTATCCAGCATGGTTAGATAAAATTTTTAATACATAATATAAAATCAACGAAAGTTCAATAATCATTATTATATATATATGGTGCTTCATGTTGTTCATTTACGAACTATAATAGTGACAATAGAAATCAGAATTTTCGAACGAAATCTATATAAATCTGCATTATGTGTTTAGTAGTTCTTTCATCCTTTATAGTCTTTATCAACTATCGTTTCATAACAAAATTCATTCTTTATTTCAGTTAATGGAAAAGTGTAATTATTAATTTTATGTATATTTTAAGTATTACTACTGGTTGTATTGTTGTCAGTAACAGTTTTATTTTTGATTAAATAGTGAGTCATTCATTCTATGATATGTACAAGACTTTTCTTACAACTTGTACACGTAACAAGTTAGCTTAATTCTTTCGTTAGTTTAATGGAATTATTATTGATATTATCATCATTTAGTTAGATTACATTCATCGTAGAATATGTGCTTATATTGTTTCTCAAGTAATACAATCCATGTTATCGTTTAGATCGCCAGATAGTATTCTATCCGACTGTCCAATTCAGTTACAATATACACTTCACACTGTATACTAAACCCAATATCCAAGTGAGTAGTTGCGAAACTGAACTATAATCAACATAAACCATGGGGATGAACTCATTCACTTTTTTTTTTACCCGGGAAAGGATATGTAGGTTAAGACCTCGAGTCATGCATCGGCTTCTTTCAATAGCGTGTCTCATGTATAATATTACCTGCTATTCAATATTGAGGCCACGTGTAAGCACCGACACGTAATATATTTAAACTCTTACGGTTAAGCAGACAGTCACAGAAACTAAAACCGCTTCAGAGCTACCTAATTTAGGATTACAGCCATATTACCGTGACAGCTTTTGATATGACCACCCTGATATTTGTTACAACAAACTAAATATTTCTGTATAACCTGTCAAGTTTAAATAATCAGTAAGAGGATATCTACAAAAATACTTATGAATTAAATAAATAGTTTGTTAGAAACTCTCGATAATTCCTCGAAGGTGTCTTCAAAAGCCGGGAAAATACTGGGAACACTTTGGCGACTTATTACACATCCCTCCCCAGGTCGAACAATTACTATGCTTTTCATCAATTTCAGTATGATTTTTAGTAGCTTCTAGAATCTGGAGTTCCTATAAATAAAAAGTCCTCAAAGTAAAGTTTCTTCTAAACTTCCCAACTTCTGTCTTTTATTTGGATTTCAGAAGTGGAGGAATCGTGAAGACCAAAAACAAATGTTTAAGTGTTAAAACAAAAAACTGATTATTACTACAAACTAGCATCATCTGGAGAGCTACTAAAACGCTTAACAAAGACTGGATAGCTATTTTGTTTTAGATTCCGAATGAGGTCCGATGTAGCATCTGTAGGTTTTACAAAGAACAATGTCATAAGGTAATAATCAAGAATTCCATTTTAAAGGTAAACTACTGAATTTAAGTCAAATGGTCAAACTGTTCCGTACTAGTTGCGAGAACTATAGAACCGATTCGGCATCCAGTGTACTTTGAAGGTATAGTTACTTCATTTATCCTTTTTACGTGAGTCTTTAACTCATAGTACAACATTTTGCTGAGCTAATTAGTTGAGTTTCTAATTTTTCCACCAATAATATGACTCCATTTGCACCTTCTTTAATATCAAGAGATATGATCATCTTGATAAAAAAAAATTGATGCTCGTTTCTTTTCCCAATTATCTAACTTCTTTATTCACTCACCCTTGTCAATACAATTTCACTCATTCACCTACTAATTCTTCTTTATTTCAAGGTTTCCAAGGTGGTTTATTCTTAGAACGATCAAAAATAAAAAACCCGACAGTAAATTATTTGATAATAAACCAATGGAATATTACAAACCAACCGATTTATATGTTGGTGCTAAACTGGATTTTAATACATTTCTATTTGAATTAACTGAAGCCGATGATTATACATTAGATTACATGGAGAAACATAAAACACAATTTGAACAAGCTGATTATCAATTAATATTGAATAAATTAATAACAATATTAAACAATGAACAATGTGATGAAATTATCAAGTATGCTGTAAATCAAGATCCAGATGATACAGGGACATTTGGCTTTGATCAAATGATAAATTTAATTAATCAGTTGACTGGTAAAGAGAATGCGTTAACAACCCATGAACTGGGTACATTGGCAAGACATTATGGTGTTAGGTAAAAGATTTTTTTTTATTAAAACATACAATGATCGTTTTTTTTTCAGCGAGACTATAATTTATGGGTAGATCAATCAGATATGAGATAACACGTAATGAATTTTGCGCGAAATTCATCCACACATTTGGTTAAATAGAGTTCTGGCATTATAGCTGATGTTGGCTGACCGTCAGCTGTAAATGAGAATTCTCAATGACGTAGAACTTCGTACGTACTTACTGACTGACTGACTCATCTTGCTAATCACGATTCCATCAAGTTGATTATAGGTTTACTTATGCATAGATCTTAGTTTCCAAGAATGTTATACAAATTATCATATTTCCACAAAATAATTTCGAATCATCTCACTTTCCATTATTTGCACATGTTTCTAAACGATCTCACAGATTATCATTTGTCCACCTTTGTTTTAATGTATTCTGTATATAGTCTATTTATACCTGAATAGAATATGACAAAAGAAACTGATTAAAAGTCAAAGCAATCCTGTTGCTCTCTTAATTAGATATCTAATGAGAAAGCAGGTAGACTTTATGATTTCACAAATTATCCTTGACCTTTGAAAGACAATCATACATCTTGTCGGCGTTATATGCTTTGGAGTAAGATTTATTCTACTTCATACACTTTAAAATTTATATATGCACATAGATTTTCTAAAGCTGCAGTTTTATGAATGTGGTTCTACGAGAAACATGCATAAAGTGGTTCAGTTTAGTAATAGAAACTAATGATACACATGTTTCATAATCATACTGCTATGTTTGAAAAGATTTCGAGTTTACCTAATCTGAGAACGAAACGAAGACACTGTGATACAATGACCAATAAGCTAGCTATTCCGACGCATACAAGCCCCGCTAACTAGGGAAAGAAGATCGAGTTCGAAACGGGGAAATATATTCCACAAGCATCCAAAAGCTCGAACAATAACAACAAGCACAACTCAAGCGTATATATACAGCATAAGAATGTCCTTCAGAAATGGCACAAAATAGCATACTAAAAGAGATAACGAACCGATAGCATTTAAGTTCCTCCCAAGTGGGAAATACGATATGAAGGTGAAAAATGGGTGTTTTTGGCGCGAAAACAAAAAAATTTACATTTTTAAGATAGAATTATAAAAATAAGGCATTTACCAAGTGAGTTCTGGTGATCTAACATCACCAACACATACATACAATGAAAAAGAATAAATGAAACAATTTATAGCATAACCAACTGCAACGAACATGTATAAGCTTTTTTGTGTCATGTAAGCAGATAAAATGACAGTAATCACAAAGCAGCTTGAGAAATAAATGATGATAGTAAGACAATAACATGAATTATCAAGTGATGAGTGATTTAAAACACGGATGAAGTAATAAGCAAGAGTATACCATTTGAATGATCCAGAATATACTTGATTCAATGACCGACTGGCAAAGAAGGTAAAAGAAAAAGATCGAAGTAGAATACTATAAACGTGTTCCGGTCGACTGATAGATTAGATGACAATGGGTCGACAATAAAAACTAACTTCTCGCCAGCCAATCACAATTTAGTTGGTATGAGTATATCACAGAGGTGGTAACTGAAAATTTAAAAACGTAATGTAGACTATATTAGGTAGAACAATGTGATTTTGTATCCATTTGAGTTTGTTTCTGATATGATGGAAAGAATAGTCAATTTTCGATTGATTTACTCATTCTAAGTTTTGTTCAAGATTACTTCCGTTTGATTCAATGTAATGGTTACTCAATGTAGTATTTCTTTTCTTTTCTCGTATGATGTTTTATTCTGTATAATATTCGATATTCTTGTATTCCGTTGACATGAACTATGCTCAGCCTGTGATTTCTTATAACTCTAAGTATGTTTCTCATGTGTGATTTCATCCCAATTATAAATCACAATGGGTGTACAATCAATATATAAATGAGTGTATTTTCTACTAGAGTTGTTGTCGTCGTGTTTTGGGGGTTGATAAATCATCACTTATATCAGTCTTTGTGTTCTTACTTTCACGTCGTGGGAATTGCAGAGGTACCTCGTTCCGAGTATAAGTGATAAGCGTTTCCGACATAACAATCAGCGATGACCAGATACAAAAAGTAGCATTAAAAGAGCCAAGACAAGAAGCATTCAAACGACAAATTATAACAGTTTCACATACTAATTATAATCATTATTTTAACTTTAGACCATCCAAGGAAATAAATCTTGAAATTTTGCTTGGGATTGCACAACAAACACTTCGTAGAAAAGCATTTGAAGATTTCTCCAGTTTAATGAATGCCTGTCGCCAACAAGATGCCGATAAAACAGGTGAAATGGACCGTCATGCAATAAGACGCATATGTTTAGCGCATCACCTACCATTACCTGATGACATGTTGAATTCACTTATGAATTGGTAAGTCAATTTTGTAAAATATTCGTCATAAAATATTGACTTCAGCTAGAGAACTATTTAATACAATGAAGGACTGAACAGTTTAGGACTACTCAGCAGAGTTCAATTACAACCACACTAGTAGTTGAAACATTCACTATTCAATAGTTCCAACTTTCAACTCCCAGATATTCTCAATACACTGTGACTAACTCATTTGTTTTGTTGTATTTTTTTACAATTGAGTTTTATAATTGTGCGATCTCATGTCTCTGAAACAGTGAGCAACTAGCTGACATTTAGTTAAAACCGGTGTTGTGTAAAAACGCTTATTTTCATGTGTCTATAAACCTTCTGTAAATAGTTCAGTGAAAATATAATTTTCACGTGACTATAAACATTAATATAGCATTTTCTGACAAGACATTTCAGCTATGAATAACTTGGTATGAATGTTGCTTCAACTTAAATTACAATACTTTTATTGCTAAATCAAGATAATAAAGCTTTTCGTATCTTTTCGAGATCTGATAACTCTAGAATATTACACAATTTTCAAGATTATTTTCAACATGAGGATATGAAAAGACAAATGGCTCAAGATACAATCACTTGATGTCAGAAAAACAAATAAGCTTCTTTCACAATTCATTGATCATTGGGTGGTGATCAATGTCATGTGTGTCAAGTCCTTATTGGTGCAGATCGAATGCTATCGACCAAGTTGCAATGTGGCCACTAGTCTAGGTGACTCGACACTGCATGCACTATTGTGAGATTAGATAGTGGTTGGAGGTAGTCATCAGGAAATCCTGAACACGGGTTTCGTGCCACTTGACACTCGTCAGCAACGTGTACCTGTAATCTTGAGGGAACTGGTGCCCACTGACAGATTCGATCCCGTGTCACCCAGCTTCACAGTCAGAGACGTTACTATTGTGCTATCCGGGCCGTGACCGACCTCCTGTGGGATTGAGATGTGATCACAATTGATTGATCACTGGGTGGTGATCTGCACTACGAAGGACTTTACACACATGACATTGGTCACCAGCCAGGTACACCTTGCTGACGAGTGCCAAGTAGCACGAAACCCGGGTCCAGGGTTTCCTGGTGACTGCCTTCAACCACCATCTAAATAAGTCTTTTTATTTGTTGTTTATTTTCCAAACCTTAATATTGTGATTAAAAATCTGTAGTTTGAGGGAGAGTAAAATGATTTTAGTCCTGAACTTTATTTAACAACTTTAGCATCATTGGGGATTATCTGCAGAAAGCACCATAACTGTACTTATTAAATTTCATTTTTTCATTAATTTGATTCATTGATATCACACTTTAGCTTTACATTAATTAATGCACTCGTAAATCGTTGTTCTAACTGTTTTAAATGACTTGATAATAAATAATTTAATCCGTTGCCGGGTGGAGTGTGAGGAACACTTGTCTCCTTCGTACTATTTGATTAGTTTTAAATGTATGATTTACTTGCTAATTATCCATTTCATATTCTTCAAAACTTTAACTTGATTTCACCGAACATATTCACTAACATTTTTTTTAATATTGAGAATCAGTTAAGTAGGATTAATTAAATAATAAAGCCTTAAATGATTATCTATCACAAGTGAAATTAACAATTACTTTATATTTGATATTGATATCGATATAAATAATAAAAATATTAACTATTCTCAGTACAGTTAATAATAATGCCGACTCAGTGGTCAAGAGGTTAGGCATTCGCTCATGAGACCGGAGGACCTGGGTTTGATTCCTACGCGGGGGCTAGTGGATGCACACTACTGAGGAGTCTCATACTAGGACGACACGGTCGCCCAGTACTTCCATGTTTTTCGTGGTGGTATAGCTTAGATCAATTCGTAAACTCAACTGTAATCATATATCTGATGATGTACATATTTGGATAATTAATTACTGAGTAATGGTGTTCTAACTTCGTCGTTTAAGTGAATTTCACAGAATGGATGTACCAGTTCATTGAAATTAAATCAATTTTTTGTTTTTAAAATGGTATTATCTCAGTAACATACCGTAGTAGTAGACTAGATTAAAAACAAACAACTAATTGAAATGGGATTATAAGCTTTCTTTTCGAATCACTGATAATAAATAAGACAGAAGCAATACTACGTTGAAGATCATCACAAGGTTTACGTTAAGAAATATGTATAATCTTATTTTTCTCATCAAAATGTGTCAACAAAAATGAATAAATTTCCAGTCAGTTAAGAAAATATAGGATCTGACAAAAATGTATGTTGATCCAAGTTGCCATTTTTCATATCGTCTATACCAAAGAAAAAGACTACTAATACGAAAGTGAAGGAGGGCTAATTAATACAATTATTAATGATAGAAAAAAAACTTGTTTCGGAAAGAAACGGATGGAATGGACAACATCGGAAATGAAGATATATGTTACGTGCATTCCACAAATCGATTATATGCGTGAAAACATTCCCCTCAAAATAGTCAATATCATACATTAATCATACGACGGACTACACTGCAAAGTCATGTATGAAGGACAGCTGACAACCACATCCCAAGTGAGGACCGGTGTCAGATGAGGTTGCTCACTCTCTCCATTTTTCTTTCTCCTGATGGTCGACTAGATTATGAAGACCTCCACATCTGAGGGAAAGCACGGAATACAATGGACAGCTCAGAATAAATTAGATTTGAACTTCACAGATGACCTAGCCCTTCTATGCCATCAATCAGTCAGCCAGCCACAACGTAAGACTTGGCACATAAATGCATCGGTCCAAGTTGCCATACCTCATTAGCACAACAAGATGAACACCGGATTCGTAAGAGTGGTTAAGTCAATGGTGGTAATATATAAAAGAAAGATTGCATATAAGGATATAGTACAGGAAGAAAGAATTAGTTCGTAGAAAGAAAGATATGAAGGGATTTTAATCTCTTAGTTTAAGGGAAGATAGAGAGTGTATACACCGGCGCCATTGTGATCGATTCCGAGCCATGTCACCAAGAGTCTCCAACCATTGGTTACGATAGTCACTCGGACCCCAACCAAGTAGTCTGCATCTACCAACATGGCTCAGACTAGAAGTTAATGTCTTCAAGCACTGATGCCACGTTTTGGTTTGGCCGCTTCTAACTTTCTTCCAACCATCCCGAACACCGGTTTGCATTGCAAATGGTAATCGGTGTTCAGGCATACATAAAACGTAGCCCAATCATCTCAGTCGATGAAGATTCACAACCTCAACAACTGATTTTCCATCACTCCCTAATACCCTGTGTCTAAATACACTATTATATACCTAGTGATCCTAGCAGATGCGAGCAATATTTCTAAGGCATCTGTGGTCAAATACTAGAAGCTTACGAATATCTCTAAATTACCACGTTTTGCAGCCGTAAAGTAAAACAGAACGAACTGCTGCGCAGTATACTCGTCCCTTAATTGATAGACGGGTGTCTCACCTTCGCCATAGGTGACGTAAGTTGGCAAAAGCCAAACGGGCTTATTGAATCCGTGCTGAGATTTTGTCAGACCCTGATATCCTATACATATCAACAAGTGCAAGTCAAGGCAAACAATGTAACAGCAGCTTCAGAATCTCCAATACAAACATCAAAACAGTTCTACTGTATGGGGCTGAATCATCGACAACTACTACACCTATCATCAAAAATGTACAAGTACCTATAAACAATTGTCTACATAAGATACTCCGTTGACCGGATACCATCAGCAGCAACCTACTGTGGGAGAGAACAAACCAGCTTGCAGTTGAAGAAGAAATTAGGAAAAGACGCTGAAAGTAGATAGGACGCACATTGCGAAAATCATTAGACTGCATCAAATGTGGAGCGCTAACTTTGAATCCTGAATGGAAACGGAAAAGTCAAAGGACACATTGCCTCGGGAATCGGCAGCAGACATGAAAAAGATGAACAGAAACTAGAAAGGACTGGAAAGTATTTCCCAGGACAGAGTTCGATGGAGAATCTGGCAGGCGGCCTATTCTCCTCCACAAGGGGTGACAGGCGTAAGTAAAAAATGTTTGAAAAACTACTGAAAAATAAGGAAAGTCGAGTAGCTATTTCATCCTATTTATTGGACTTTTCAGTTGTACATATGTACAAACGCATGAGTACAAAGCTAGTGTTAACCTGTAAAATCCATATCAATATGAAACAGTGAAATCATGCTTCTACCATATTTACAAACTAATAATTCACAGCCCCCAAATGGGGAGAGTCAGCTCTCCCTCCTACCCACTGTCTTCTCACGGCATTATTGTTATTTACGAAATTGAGAGGACGAAAAGCGAATGTCCTGCGCTTTAACCGGGTTGGTGGACACAGACAGTCTACGTAGAGGAGTTGGAAAACCCTGATTCCAAACCAATGGTGCACATGTGCTAGAATAAAGCTAGGGAGATTGCAGTTTCTAACAATCCGCAATCGAATGATGTTGATATCCCCACTTCTAAGTTTCCCCAATTTATGTACGGTGCATTAAAGTTGCCTATTATAAGGGTTTTACCCCTATTACACCAGCACTTAATTTTGCTTAGAAGCAAGTCACCCACTACACATTCTGGACTGCGGTATACTACAACTGATTCAATATCTTGCCGCTTACATTTGACCATGCAGCGCACCGGTTCATATGTCTCTGAGTCGTGTACCACTGTCTCGATAGCTCGTATGGTTAAAGTGCTTTTCGTGTGTAGGATAACCCCACCACACCTACGGTTTAGTCTATTAGTCCTGCTAGGTAAGGAACCAAGCAACTGAATTTCACTATCATACACTTCTGACGTTAACCATGTTTCTGAAATGTCAATCACATCAAAGTCTTTTGTGTCCACCACTGGTTTGAGCTCCGCCATCTTATTAGGCAGGCTGCAAGCATTTGTATACACATTTATTCTGTAAATAACCTTCCCTCACCACCCAGAGTGGTTTGAGGATCGTTTCGCTCCAAACTTCTACGGTGTGGAAACCCTTAAGTGTGAGTTTTTTTTCACCGTTCTAGCGGTGCTCATTCATTTCTACCTCTGCCGCCCCCAAATACTCTGGTACGGGCAAAAGTGGGGAGAGTCAGCTCTCCATCTCGAAATGCTCTCACATGGTCACGTGCATAAAACCACTGCCATGGAAGTCCTACTCACTGTCTTCTCACGGCATTATTGTTATTTACGAAATTGAGAGGACAAAAAGCGAATGTCTAGCGCTTTAACCAAGTTGGTGGACATAGACATTCCACCTAGAGGAGTTGGGAAACCCTGATTTCAAACTAGTGGTGCACATAGACTTTATGATTCTGAAGGAAAAATGGCATATAACCAATTGTTGGTTACCGACTAGTATGAGACCGTATCTCCTAACGTTACTCCACTACCTTGTAGATCAGACCTTTTAGGTCAAAGGCTCAGGGTGTAGCCACCTAAGAAAACCACCTGCTTCAGTTTGGTTACCGAGGCAGTATTTCAGCTCTCATACCAATCAAATGATTTATATGGCATATATCTTTATTTGGTGCCTTGTTGTACCTATGTTTACGTGTTTAAAGAAATAAATAATTTACAACTCAATTTACCCTTTTTTTAATTACACGGTTTTTGATTTTGTTAAAATCATAAATATTAATATTTTTTCTTTCTTACATTTAAATTACAGTTTAGTCAATCAGAATAATTTAATACAATATGAACAATTTATTAATCAATTGAATTGGAAAAATTATGAAATTAAAGAATTATCTATTCAACAATCATTGGATTATATTGAAAATATGAATATTGATTGGTTACCAATAAGTAAAGGTGATATGCCAAAATCAATACATTTAAGTAAAAAATCAAAAATCGATAAAATCAATTATAAACAATTGATTAATGATTTATTTATGAAAGATCTATTTCATTCATCAATTGATTAATTAATCAGTTTAATAAAATAATTAATTATTATTTTATTTTTCTTTTATATACAAAATCTGTATACGAAATAAACTATATATATATATTCATTTTAGATACAAAATTGCCTAGTTATTGTTAGTCAATTGAAGGAATGAAAAGATAAAAAATTATCTATCTGTTATGTCAATAAGAATGTTGAAGTAATATAAAAAAACAACATATAGATAGATAAGTAATATGCTTTACAAAGGTTATTTTATTTATTTATTTCAATACATAGATATTGGTACAAAGAGGCACCAAATACATATGCGCCACACAAATCTCATTCGATATGTGTGAGGGCTGTGATAATGCCCGGGTGCCCAAACTGAAGCAGGTGGTTTTCTTAGGGGGCGACACCCCGAGCCTTCGACCACAAGGCAGTGGAGCATTGTAAGGAGATGCAGTCCCATGGTAGCCGGTGACCAACAATTGGTCCATACGACATTTGTTCCCTCAGCATACTGGAGTCCATGTGCACCATTGGTTTCGAATCCGGTTAAAGCGCCGAGCGTTCGCTTTTCGTCCTCTCATTTACATAAACAACACCCCTGCCACGAGAAGGCAATGAGTAGGACTTCTCTGACAAAGGCTATATACGCGTGGCCATGTGAGAGCATTTCGAGAGGGAGAGCGGACTCTCCCTACTCTCGGCCGTACCAGGGCATTTGGGGGCCTTTACAAAGGTGATCAATAATGGATATGTACAATATCTAAATAAAATCATTAAACAAAGAAAGGGTAATAAAGTTTGGGGAATAAAATGAATTCATTCTGTTTCATAGTTTCTTATCAGCTGCATACAACGTAAACTTGTTATTATTAATATCGTGAGTCACTTGAAGCTAGAGCACCATGAAAAACTTGAAAGCACTGGACGACCATTTCATCCTACTGTGTTAGTTGAAGTTAGACGTGAACACCGTTGGATGACGGCTGACTCAGTGGTCTAGAGGTTAAGTGCTTTCATGTGAAACTGATAGGTCCTGGGTTCCGATCTCGCGAAGCGAGATCGTGAGTGCGCACTGCTGAGTTCAACAAAAAGACGAAACGGCCATCCAGTGTTTACAGGTTTTCCATGGTGGTCTAGTTTCAATTGACTCGTGATCTCAACTATTAAAATAAATAGAGTTATCACAAGTGATTGATCACTGGGTGGTGATCAATGTCATGTGTGTCAAGTCCTTATTAGTGCAGATCGAATGCTATCGACCAAGTTGCAATGTGGCCACTAGTCTAGGTGACTCGACATTGCGTGCACTATGTTGAGATTAGATGGTGGTTGGAGGCAGTCAACAGGAAACCCTAGACTAGTGGCCACATTGCAACTTGTTCGATAGCACTCGATCTGTATTAAGAGAACTTGACACATGACATCGATCACCACCCAGTGATTAATCAGTTGTGACTACATCTCAGTCCTACAGGAAGTCGGTCACGGCCCCGATAGCATAGTGGCAACGTCTCTGACTGTGAAGCTGGGTGACACGGGATCGAATCCGTCAGTGAGCATCAATCCCCTCAAGATTACAGGCACACGTTGCTGACGAGTGCCAAGTAGCACGGAACTCGGGAGCAGGGTTTCTTGTCAACTACCTCCAAACACCATCTAATCTAAATATAAATATTAACAAATGTTTAGCAAACTTTAGTTTTCTAACATCAACTTCATCGTTCATTTAAGTAAGTTTGTGAAGTTTAGATAAATGTTCGAAATGCAATCAAGATCATAATATTCAGAAGAATAAATACACAAATTATATGAATAAACAGAGTGAAGATTGATTTGTGTTTTATTATTTTGGGAAGTAATAATTCAGAGATTATATGAAAGTAAAAAAATGAATGGAAAAATAAACAAATATGTAAACATAGATCATATTATGTAAAAGATGAATATCAGAAGAATAAAAATAAAAGGTTTGGAACAGGGTTGAATAAGGACTAAAATTAACGAAGGTTATTTAGACAAATATCCAATCATAACAGGGAAAGATTAATCAAGCTTTCCTTTCGCATACATAGGTCACGTCGGGAAGGTTTGGTAGCGATCGCCTCTGCAAAACGCAGTAAAATTGGTGTTTTTTGTCTGTTGGTTATTTTGAATATATCAGAAAAGCTTCTTTTCAGTTAAATCTAAGGATTATAGGACAGTCGTTTCGTGCATGTCTGAGAATCCTCAATAGTGTACACGACTAACTGGTGTTCTGACCCATATCTGAAGATTGTTCAAACTAAATTATAATTACCATACCACTACTCTCGGTATATGCTGTGAAAGTTGAATTAAGTGTTTATTTCAAACATAGAGGATAGAAATACATTAATGTTTAACGGAGGGAAACACTACTTTTGCCAATTTTCTCTTTTAAAATTATTCAACATCATTTACTGTAACCCATTTAACAAAGAAAAGTTAACATGGTGGGTTTCAATGACATGGTTTGTGTGAAAGATAATGATACTATACGTTTACCCAGCGATTTCTTTGTAAAAAATCGAATGAATTAAACATTAGAACACTGCTCCGAAAACGTATAAACTTGTATTCATAAATACTGAAAATATAAGACACCTACCATCATAAACTGAAAAGGGATTAAACGGGAGTCCACTTTCATGTCGTAACCAAGGTTTGAACTGATAAATTCATAAAGAATATAAGCGTTGTTTAAATACTAATAATGATATATTTGTATTATCCCAATGATTAGAGAAAAAGATCCAATTTCTGACGTTTCACAACTTAGTGTAAGCCATTTATTCAGTAAATAAATTAACAAGTTCAAATGGACAAATTCAATATTAAGTACAAACAAAACCTACCTCATCCCAACGTTTGTCCATTCAAATTAAAGGGACTACTTGTGAGATATAATTATGTGTATGTGAAGGGCTATGAAAAATGTGACATTTGTCATGTGAAAAAGTAGAGCAAATTTAAAGGCAGTTATAGTATAAGATTTGAACAGGTTAAGAGTTCCCTTCCATTTTGGAAGCGTCATAAAAGCCATACAGGAGCAGAACATTGAAGCAGTTTATTATTGAACATTTGAATCAAATTTTTTTAAAAGTATATAACTACAAAAACGAAAACTTCAATTTTATTTTAACTTTTGTAAATTAAAACAGGGATCCAATCACAAGTAATGTCTACCCGAAAATCCAAGTTATTTCTGACAGATGTGGTTTAACACGGATTCATTGTGTTGTTTAATCTAATAATGCATTCGGTTAACTTTAGTATACATCATAATATAGATCGATCAATTTCTATTTACAACAACCAGATTAACGCCATGATAATTCGATGGCATAGAAAATCAATGGCATTTATTTTGTAGTCTTGTAAATATTATAATAAACAAATCTGCCCATGTTCATTCGTACTGATAGTGAAGATAAGTAGTACAACCAGAAATTGGAAAAATCACCCACTACATGTTGATTATCAAATGATATTTTAACTGATACTAGTTAATATAGTAGATCATTCAACAATTATGCATTGATACAATGACTTCCTAATTTATCGGATATTGAGTTGCAGTTTTGAGGAGATTGGTTTAATTTATAGGTTATATTGATGGAACTCAGAGCACCACTGACGAATACAGCCTACAAAGTAAACCAACCTCTATAAAACCTGTTTAAGCAAGCTCATAAGTGACTACAAGATGTCCCTGAAGCTCTAGTAAGGACTCACAACTGGTAGAGTTCAGACATGGAGGAAGTGGAAATTGCTACCAGTGATATTGGATGATTGTCATGATATATTTCAAGTTGATTGAAGCTGCAATGCACCACCGCACCCCAATTCATTGTTTCTAACGACTGAGTTCCATGCGAGATCTGGTGGGTTCAATCCCTGAATTGATCGTGAGTGAGCATCGCTGTAGTATGAAACAGCTGTCCAATGCGTCCTAGTTTTCAGTGATACTCATATTGAGATTAATTCATGACGAATACAAACTACAAATTACCCCAAAACTTTCGTTGAATAGAATAACCGGTAATTACATGACCAGGTAAACAGTGGTAATGAAAACAATTTGATGATAAGTGAACAGACACTGAAGATGAATAACAAGGATTTATCATGTATTTTTTATATTGGCAACATTGAGTAATTCATATTTCCCATCGGAAATTACTGAGAACTGTAATAAAAGCAAATATAAGAAACAAAACTACATACGTGTACACACACACATTTCAATGACAAAAAAAGACCAGTTAAGGCAAAATATAAACAAAAACAAGCAAAAATAAAACTGAGTAAAATTGCAAGGGTAAAATCGAGCAGTGGGGATAAGGAATTAAATGCTTAATGACTGAATGAGTTGATAAAACATGAAATAGGATCGCAAACACAATAAGTAAAGTTACTTTTTTTGTAATGGATTAAATTGAGTATATGGATGAATGGGTGAATGTAGTGTTACATACTTTTTTGAATAAAAGTCAGTTCGAAGATAAACAGACAAATTTCTATAGAAAAAAAAACAGGAAAACAATAAATAAGGAAATATTAAGATATATATATATGAATAGTATAAACTAGTATAAACGAAGTTCCTTTGAATACTGATGATAATGTTCCTTGATACGAATTACAGGATTCCTGATCTTCTATGTACTCCACTTTTTCTCTCACGACAAAATTTCTTCCCGACTTTTAGTCCACTGTGTGAGGATGGAGATAAACTGCCGGAAGGTGGCGGAGCACCACGTGTTTGATGTTTACGTCCTCCTCTGTGACGACGTTCCTTACACATTTGACCTATGAAAAAAAGAAACCAGGAACTGAAAATACAACCAAAATGTATAGAATATTCTAATACAAATAATCTAAAACTGGTGTAGTCGTCTTCTCATAACTTATTTACTTACTTACTTACGCCTGTTACTCCCAATGGAGATTAGGCCGCCGACCAGCATTCTCCAACCCACTCTGTCCTGGGCCTTCTTTTCTAGTTCATAACTTATTTACCAAGTAGAAATTCGTGTACCCCCGGTTTTGAGACATTCTTTTGATTTGAAGGCAAGTGATGCTACCAGTTTCAGAATTTAAAGTAGAAGGAAGTGAGATTCAATCAGTGGTTGGACATCGAGTACCATTAACTACCAAGTGTCATTCATCCATAATCTCTCGGTGTCAAGTGTATGTAACACAAAGTTTGAGATGGGAATGATACTTCAGTTATGATACTAAGATATGAATTATCAGCTTACTGAAGGAAACAAAACTTAGTAAACAGGACGAAGAAATTTCTTTTCAATTAGTTTTTCATCATGACTTACACAATGTATCGGTTACAAAATATATTGAGTAATTGGGAGAAAGAGGATTATAACAATCAAATTGTCCGAAAAATCAAACAATCGCTACATTGAGAGCGAGACAGGAGGTCCTGGGTTCGAGTCCCGCGTGCTTCCAGGTTTTCCATGGTGATCTAGCTTAAATAAATTTATGAATTCAACTATTAGATAACTACAACCTTTATAAACACTCATTCTGGTAATACAAAATGAACTAAGAGAATACTCTGAAAGGTCAGCATTATAGTATTGTAGCAAGAATATGTAAAAATATAAAAGTGGAAGAAATTAGAAAATCGTTTGAATAATTCTGAAAGAAGGGATTTAGTGAAAATTCAACTAAAAGCTCACTATCACACTCATTGCCGAGAGAGTGGTTGTACAAACTTCTTTTGGATGAACAAGTTGGGTTTGTGAACACGAATTCTGATAGCTTCCGCAATATGGAACAGACAAATTCGTTAACCATGTGGTGGATGCGATGGAATATGGTGGCCAACCTTAACAGTCTTATTCAAGTCAATTTGATGTCCTGTATCCACCAAGTGAGCGAGAACAGAACTCTTAATGACTCTTACATGTCCTGTTGCCAAATGAAAAGATTTAATCCTTTGGTGAACAATGAATGTACATTTTTAATTTAACAACCAATTTTAAAGACAGCCTAACGGTCATATTATTTAATCACTACTAAGACCACTCCATGGAGGTATATTCTTGATGAAATTAGAAAACGATCCAACTACAGAAACCAATCGACTAGCATTTATTCTCGCTACACAGAACACATTTGTTTAAACTAGTGGCTGATACTTCAGTTTGATCGAAACTGAAGACTAGATAAATATAATAAAAGTTAATAATCTATGAAAATATATCAGTCCTATAAGAAATCAGTCACAGGCAGAATACTTTAAGGGTAATGTCTTTGATTGTTAAATTGGGTGGTGAGTTGTGTCAAGGTAACAGGAGTATCATTTCGTTTAAAAATGACAATATGCCTTTTAAATTAATTAATTAATATTTAAAAAGTAGAAACTTGCCCTCAGGACAATCACCATCACCAGTGCATCGTGTACGCTAAAAGCAAACAGAAACAATGCAAAGAATAAACATTAGTTTTGAACAATATTTAATTAAGGACACTGAATTTAAAATTTTCTGAATGGAGAACATCCGTAAAGAGAAACCATATTAGCATACTTTTAATTAATATTACTTATAATGGTGTTCAGAATAAATGAAGACAGTCGTATAATGGACGCTGAAATAAGTTATTACGTAATATGATTGGATAGACAACTTTTCATTTTTAAGGAATAACATAAAAGTAAACAAAAGTGAATATTATATATTGTCAAGCTATTTTAAAAATACACGCATGAAATCCAGTATGAATTTTATGAACACAGTTCACAATCCTATTCAGTCAATCAGCCAATACGTGACTTCGCACATTTTATTATTATTTTATTTGAACACATAGATATTGGTACAAGGAGGCACATATGCGCCACACAAATCTCATTTGATTTGTGTGACGGCTGCGACACTGCCCGGGTGCCCAAACTGAAGCAGGTGGTTTTCTTAAAGGGCCACACTCAGAGCCTTCGACCACAAGGTCTAATCAACAAGGCAGTGGAGCATCGTAGGGGGATGCAGTCCAATGGTAGCCAGTGACCAACAATTGGTTCATACGCCATTTGTTCCCTCAGCACACTGGAATCCATGTGCACCATTGGTTTGGAATCAGGGTTTTCCAACTCCTCTAGGTGGACTGTTCGTGTCCATCAACTTGGTTAAAGTGCCAGGCATTCGCTTTTCATCCTCTCAATTTCGTAAACAACAGTAATGCCGTGAGAAGACAGTGAGTAAAACTTTCCTGGAAGAGGCCATATATGCGTGGTTATGTGAGAGCATTTCGAGAGGGAGAGCTGACTCTTCCCACTCTCGGCCGTACCAGGGCATTTAGGGTCAGGACTTGGCACAAAGGTGTATCGGCTAAAAATGTCAGTTGAGTTTGCATCATCACAACAAGAGAAGAGTTAAGATGAAAAGGAAAAAAAAGGACAAACACCAATCACATTAGGAAATTAAACACTTAAAAGACAATTAGGAAAGAGCGAATAAAATCGAGAACTAGGATGTACAATACAACGATTAAGAACAGATCAAAAACCAATACCTCTGTGCCACTACGAATAATTTCAAAGACGAAGGTGTTCAACGATAGATTATCGAGTGGACCCTAAACAACTTGCTATTTAATAGTAAAGTACAGTTAACTGATGAAGTAATTTTTATCTACACATAACGCTTACATGTTTTTTCCCACGTCTGTGTGGCCGTCTCCAATTAGCACCACCTGAACAATAAACAAAATGGAATACAAAACTATTATTATTACCATTAGTGGTGGGATTTTTTATAAAACTATCAAATCTCAAACTTTATGCAGAATGCAACAACTAGAATAAGATAATTGGAAATTACTAGGAGAATTTTATCTCTAATAACTGTTGACACTTTTCTACATAATACACATTATCCAAATTCAATCGGTATTTCTCTGTAGAAAATCTTATTTATTTATTTTAACACCTAGATATTGGTACAAGAAGGCACCAAATACATACGCGCCACACAAATCTCATTCGATATGTACGAGGGCTGTGATACTGTCCGGGTGCCCAAACCGAAGCAGGTGTAGAAAATCTATTTAATTATTGTTTATCCGGTTCCATTAACACGTCGAAACAACTTTTTTTGTTACAAAAACGCCCAAAATATTTTCTTCTATGCTGTTATATTGTGATTATCTTTTGTGAAAGATTTTTGGAGGTGGGAATGTAAATGATATTCATCCCGTAAATTCATGTATTTACATTTTAATATCAACGAGGAAATCTGGATGAAAAGGAAACTATGAGGATTAGGGGGATTTTGTTCAATATGTCGGAAAATTCAAGAAAGCCCAAATGATGTTATTAAATAATTCATTAGATGTGCTATTTTCACGACCATACTGAATAAAATTAATCCTATATATTTTTCACATAAAATCAAGCTTATGTGGAACTACATAACTATGATTCCTTATAGTATTACTGGTCTGTGTGCACTTGGAAACAGTGCATAGAGGGAAATCACGATTCCTAACGTGATGCAAAATGAGTCCTTCTACAGGTTGCCAACGTTAAACTGTGGTTTTGCCCCGTCTATCGTAAGAACACTGATAGCTTACCAACGTGGGTAAACCTACTTAAGTAAATTTATATTAACATTCTTAGTAGTCATAATCCATAAGCAGTGATTATCTTAATTGACTGGTCCACCAATTTCCATTGAAGCTGTCTGTTTATTTTATTTCCAGTTAGTGCCCCAAATGCCCTGGTATGGCCGAGAGTGAGGAGAGTCCGCCCTCCCTCCCGAAATACTCTCACAGGGTTACGCATATACGGCATCTGTCAGGGAAGTCCTACTCACTGCCTTCTCGTGGAGGAAGTGTTGTTTACGAAATTCAGAGGACGAAGAGCGAATGTTCGGCGCTTTAACCGGATCCCAAACCAATGGTGCACATGGACTCCAGTATCCTGAGGGAACAAATGGCGTATGAACCAATTTTCGGTCACCGGCTACCATGAGACTGCATCTCCTTACGATGCTCCACTGCCTTGTGGGTTAGACCTTCAGGTCAAATGCTCGGGGTGTGGCCCCCTAAGATAACCACCTGCTTCGGTCTGGGCACCCGGGCAGTATCACAGCCCACATGCGAATGATGAACTTTCTATATATATGGAAACTACTTTTCTCGCTTCGAATAACAATCAAATGATTCAAATTATTATCATTACTATTACTGTTATTATTATTATTACTATTATTATTTACTACGTCATTATTCACCCTCTTTTATTCCTACTCTGTCTCCACTGTCTTCTGGGTCAGACCTTCAGGTCAAAGGCTCGGGTGTGGCCTCCTAAGAAAATCACCTGCTTCGATCAGGGCACCCGGGCAGATCCCAGCCCACACACAAATAAAATGAAAATGACTATATTTACTGAAAATTCTATTCACTCTTTCATTCCCACTTTATGTATCCTTATTTTTCAACTTATACAGCAGTTCGTCTATGGTGGAAATTCAACTCTATCTAAACATTCTCGAGTCACTGTCCGGTTGAAAATTGTATGTTACCACCGAATACGAGTACTGAAGCAGTTTTTCTGAAACCACGTGCACCATTCAAACTGGCTGCCTTCAACGTTCGCACATTTATGCAGGTCGGACAACAGATAGGGCTGGCTATGTCTTTGGAAAGTCTTAATATCGATGTTTGTTGTCTATCCGAGACCCGTATTCAAGACTCTGGCGAAGTACTACAAATTCGATCTCCATCTGTCGCTTCGAAAAGCTTGTTTTACGTGCGCTTATCCGGGGACCCTGTGGCATCTTCGTCTGGTCTTGCTGGCGTTGGTGTCGCACTAAGCGCTAGAGCTGAGGCAGCACTAGTCGATTGGATCCCCATTAACAGTCGGTTATGTGCTGTTAGATTAGAAAGTTCCATCAAAGTGAGAAGAAATCGGCGTGAGAAACGATGTCTTTTCGTCATCTCCGCCTATGCCCCGACAGATTGCAGCCCGGATGCAATCAAGGATGAGTTTTACCACCAGTTATCAGTTCTTCTCCAGAAAGTGCGTTCGACAGATATTGTAGTACTAGCCGGAGACTTGAATGCTCAGGTCGGGCGTCTAGGCACAGAAGAGAGTCGTTTAGGTGGCCGATGGGGACTCGTTGGTCGCAGGTCAGATAACGGGGACCGTCTACTGCAACTTTGCACAGACCACAACCTGTTTCTGGCTAGCACTAACTTTCGGCACAGTCATCGCCGATGTGCCACCTGGCGTCCTCCCTCTGCATCTCAAGCCTGGACTCAGATTGATCACATCGCGATCAGCTACCGCTGGCGTGGTTGTGTACAAGACTGCCGCTCCTTTTGGAGTACCTATCTGGACTCTGACCATGCCTTGGTCTGCGCCAATCTTGCCTTACTTTTCAGTGGACAACGAAGTGACGCCATCAACGGATTGATGTTAGCAAGCTGGTTGCAACTTCTGTTGCAAGTAAGTATCGAACCGAGCTAGCCTCTAGGCTAGCTACCACTCCACCGAAAAGTATAGATGAGCATTGGTTGCAATTGCATGACGCCATGAAAATGGCGGGAACAGTCAGTTGTGGGTTTGCGAAACGTCCCGCTTTAAGCACTGGGTTTCTTCTGGTTCCTTACAACTCATTGAAGCCCGTCGGTCTACTCCGGGTGACCGTGAGTTTGACCATAAACGAAGGATGTTACGTAAGGAAATTGGGCAAAGCTTGCGTAAGGACCGAGAAGCCTGGTGGTCGATGCGTGCTAATGAGCTGGAAGCAGCAGCTGCATCTGGTAACTACCGGAAGCTCTTCCAGCTCATCCGAGCCACTGGCAGCAAGAAGTCTGGTGTGAGTGAAACAATCTGCGAGGATGATGGGATGCCAATCACTAACATCCATCGACGTCTTGGACGATGGGCAGAATTTTTCGAAGGGCAGTTCAACTGGCCTGCTGCTCCGGCAACATCGGTCAGACTGTCCTGCCCTCCATGGCCGGTGACGACTGATCCACCAAACGAGGAGGAAGTCCGCAAGGAACTCCAACTCTTGAAGCGTTACAAATCACCTGGCCCAGATGACTTACCTCCGGCTCTTTTTAAAGATGGTGGTGACTTTTTGACTAAGGAATTGACGACGTTGTTTACAAAGGTTTGGGAACTAGAGAGTGTACCAACGTCATGGAATGAGTCGATAGTTGTCCCTATCTTTAAAAAGGGTTCACGTCGTTCCTGTAACAACTATCGGGGGATAAGTTACTTCCGATTGCGTCCAAGCTATTGGCTTCCGTCATACTTCGTAGGTTGTTCAAAACCCGAGAAAGATTGACTCGCGAGGAGCAGGCTGGGTTTCGTTCTGGTCGAGGATGTATTGATCATATCTTCACCCTCCGCCAAATGTTAGAACACCGCCATACTTTCAAAGGCCAACAATCGTAGTGTTTCTTGACATCAGGGCTGCCTTCGATTCGTTGGACAGGACTGTTCTCTGGGATTGTCTATTGAAGAAGGGTGTGCCTGAGAAGTTTATTAACATCCTAAAAGCCCTATAGAGTGAGGGCATACAACCACCTCTCTCCATTGTTCCATTCGAGCAGTGGGGTTAGGCAGGGTTGCCCAATCTCACCATTCCTCTTCAACTTTGCCATCGATGACATTCTGGAAACAGCTCTGATGAATGTAAGTAATGGTGGTGTGGATCTGTTGCCTGGAGAAAGACTTCTCGACCTTGAGTATGCGGACGATATTGTCTTACTGTGCGATAATGCCCAAGGCATGCAATCCGCACTTAATCAGTTGGCAATCAGTGTCCGTAGGTATGGTATGTGCTTTGCACCTTCGAAGTGCAAAGTACTTCTACAAGACTGGCAGGATTCTAATCCTGTACTCACCCTGGATGGTGAGCAGATAGACGTAGTCGAGAAGTTCGTGTATCTGGGTAGCTGCATAAGTGCTGGTGGGGTGTGAGTGATGAGATCAATGCACGAATAGTGAAAGCCAGAGCGGCTTATGCCAATCTGGGCCACCTTTGGCGCCTTCGTGATGTTAGTCTGGCTGTAAAAGGTCGGATCTACAACGCGTCGGTGAGAGCAGTTTTGCTCTATGCTTGTGAAACCTGGCCTCTCCGAGTTGAGGACGTTAGACGACTCTCTGTGTTCGATCATCGCTGTCTCCGAAGGATTGCTGACATTCAGTGGCAACACCATGTCAGTAATGCAGAGGTTCGGCATCGTGTGTTCGGGCACAGAGATGATAATCAATTGGTGTCACCATCTTGAAACACCGACTTCGGTGGCTTGGACATGTTCTCCGAATGTCGTCCCAGAGAATTCCACGTCGTGCATTATTTGCCGACTCTGGGACTGGTTGGAAGAAGCGGAGAGGTGGTCAGTGCATGACATGGTGTCGTGGCATGAAAGAAAGCTGCAAAGGACTGGCTTGTGTTGGTCCTTCACGACTCCCTGGTTGGGGTCCGAGAGATGGTGCTACACAGTGGCTAGAGACGTTATCAGATATGGCTCAGAATAGAAGCCAGTGGCGATCCTGCTGTAACCTTTTTTTACTTTCTTCATACAAAGTGGTTGTGTCTTCCGTAACTGAAAGATTTCTTCTGATTGTACCTTTCCATTCCCCCATTTTTACCATTATTATTACACCACCTTACATCAATCTCTTCGTTTTTACTCTCTTTTTCCTTCCCCTTAAATTCTCATTGTTTTATGTGGCGCATTCTTGTACCAATATTTATGTGTTCAAATAAATAAATAAATGTTTCCTACAGATATACTCTTATAAATAACAACTTTACTTGACTTTTACGGAGTTGGTCCTTTTCTTGAAGATTCTTAAACTGCCTTAAAATAGTATCCAGACGGCATAGGTTTGTTTGGTCAAAAGTCGGGTAAAAGTCTTGGGCGTATTTTGAGTGACCAAGCGTTTCTTGGAAAAAGACTGAATTCATTCAGGAGTCATCTGTATACATGACTTGTTTAATTATAGAATGACGTAATAAGTCTAATACCTGATGGATTAGTGAAATCTTAAGTATACAAAAGGTATCATCTGTATAACGAAATATAATTTTATGATTTCAACATATCCTATGCCTTTTATACAGTAATTATTGAGAGAACTTCGAGAGGCCTTATACATATGGAATTACTTTGAGTAGGTTGGTAAACTGATGATTATCCAACTGGGAAAAGTTTAATTTAAATAAATCTGTCCATAAAATAAACTTAGTTATAAGCATCTAAAAAAATACTAGTCAGTAATTTACCTTCAGGACATTGGCCTGGTTGTTCACAATTTCGGTTCTGCGAGGAAACATAAAAATGTAGAAATAATATAATGTATAAACAATTCTAAATAGATAATTGATAAAACAGTGCTTCCTAAGGTGGTTTTTATATGGAGTTTGCACTATTTGAAAGGTATTTTTAGTATGAACTAGGATCAATTGTAAAACCATTGAACACCAGATAGCACCAGCTAACTGATATTTTGCTGAAACGGAAATCATTAACGACGAGGACGGTCTCGACAACATACATCAGATTGAGCTTAGGACAGATATTACAGGGAGCACGATACTACTCAAACAACTGAGTCAGAATTTAACTGCTCATATTTTTAACTTCAGTCAATATGTTCTGCAGTAGGATTTTCAACTAACATTACTGATGAGTTGTTGAATTACGTTTGATGTGGTTAACTACGTATACTACGAAATCCAGCTAAAACTTTTGAAGAAAACTGATAGCGAGCTGAGAAGAATCTTTTAACAAATACGATAGTCATCCCAGCAAAAGTTGAAGACAGTTTCATTAACGTGCCTTTGGTATATAATGTTGAATGTGGAAAACTGTAATTCAGAATAACATATTGTAATAATTTAATTCTGGGACATATTTAAAGAAAAGTAGTTTTTCGTAACAAAACGGAAAACAGTAACTTTTAACAATCACAAATAAGGATAAGATAAACAAATACATTATTGTTGAGAAAATACTAGGAATATTAGTTGGTTAATGAAACTATGATCTGCTATTGTGTATCGGGGTTGTTGCCACTCACAATAGCACAGAGATTGAGACGGAAAAAAAATCAACAGGATAAAAAACATAAGAGATTCGAAATAGGAAATAGGGCAGTATGTCGCCAAGTAGAACCTGATATGTGTGTACAACGGTTCAAGTTTCCACATCCCATTAGCACAACGAGATGAAAGTGTTAGGGTAAATTTCAGAGTAGCAGACATAGTAATAGTTTCAGAGGTAATAGAAAAAATTATCCACCTTGGAAACAATTTAAAAAATATATAAATTAGGGCAATTTAAAAAAAGTATAAGAAATTCAGATGCTTAGATTTTGGAGGAAGACGAAGAATGGATGCAACTATGCCATTGCAAACGAATATATTCGGGAAAATGTGACGACGATCGAGTAATGAAACCTATGAAATAAACGCAATATTTGGCAAACGAATGAAAAGCAGAAACAATAAAAGTATTACAACGGGAAAATCAATAACAGAGAGGGGAAAATAGTCACGATAATTAAAGTTTAGAAATTTGTCCCAAAATGCTTTGAATATGGGATAGAAATACAAAATATAAGAACCAAATAAAACATTTTTGGTGAGTGTTTCTTTCAGTCGTCACTCGCACATACATTTTTGAAATACTGTAGGGAAAAACTAAGCTCATATTTTTAAAAATGTAATCCGTGTGATATAGAATAAGGTTTGAGAAAGGTCGAGCTTCAGGAACTATTCTACAGAGAATTACTGTTAATATTTCTATTGTATAGTTAATATGTGCTTGGAATGTTTATTATATTCCCCTACATGAAAGCTTCGGTTTGATCCAAAAACCCTTATTTCACTCGTCATTCCAAATCTAGAATGACGATCCCCCAATGCCCTGGTACAGCCGAGAGTGGGGAGAGTCAGCTCTCCCTCTCGAAATGCTCTCACATAACCACGCATATATGGCCTCTTCCAGGAAAGTTTTACTCACTGTCTTCTCACGGCATTACTGTTGTTTACGAAATTGAGAGGATGAAAAGCGAATGCCTGGCACTTTAACCAAGTTGATGGACACGAACAGTCCACCTAGAGGAGTTGGAAAACCCTGATTCCAAACCAATGGTGCACATGGATTCCAGTGTGCTGAGGGAACAAATGGCGTATGAACCAATTGTTGGTCACTGGCTACCATTGGACTGCATCCCCCTACGATGCTCCACTGCCTTGTTGATTAGACCTTGTGGTCGAAGGCTCTGAGTGTGGCCACCTAAGAAAACTACCCGGAAGGTATCTGCTTACTATCTTTGTCTACCACTCGGGAACAGCTCGCGAGACAACAAGCATTAAGATTCTCCAGACATTAGATACAGTTGCTGAGTCACTGGTTAGGAGAAGGAGCAGTTTTATTGGGTAGAGAGACCACCAGTCCTATAGAAAATATAGGCGAATAAGTCAATAATTGGACTAGATAAAATAAATCCTTTCATAATAAGTGGACATTCACACAACATCTAATACAATTTAAGAATTTGCCCTTTTTAAAGATACAACAATCCCTCGCACAGTTAGAACGACTTAATCTCCTAGGAATTTCGATAAGACAATACCGTCAATTTACCCGTTTGTGAATCACCAATCACAACACAGAAATAACTCACTCACCAAGTACCTCTTTGTGCATATAGTTTCGAGGTAATGCTTTTAGTGTAAGGACTAGGAATACTAGCTAGTTTTTTAAAGCTTAAGATATTTTTAACTAGTCAATGTTAATTACACAAAGGTAAGTAAATCAACAACCCCTGCATATATAAACTATACAATGAGTGAAAAGAATTAGTTGGAAACACCCATAATTGCGCCTCAACAGCTGGACAGAAAAGCGTTATTGGAGTATGATGAAACGAATGGTACAGGAAAATGTTAAACAAATTCGATTTGAAACTCACATGCTTTCTGCGACGCCTACGTGACCGTCTTTCACCAGGTAATGAATCATCTATCGGTTAATCAACAGGATAAAATTTAACATTAGTTAGCGTTAAAATATAATAATATGATGAAATTCACTAGCCAAATAAATGGTTATGAATCCGGTTAGTGATATTATCGAAGCAGGTGAAGTAGGATTCAGACCAACAGCTTATCATTTACAAGTATTTTAACCAACAAGCTACATATTTATGGTCAATTAGTGTGTGTAGTGTGAAATCACAACATCAAAGACAAACAAACAGCAAAGTTCACACAAAGCTTATACCGAAAAAAAGTGAGTAGTATATCGAACAGCAATTTAAAAGGAATAAATAAATTGCAAAAAAACGATAAAACAAAATGTGGAAAACAAATTAGCTCACACCAACTGCAAATAAAATTATCTATAAAATACTGATAATCCTCTAAAGCGTTTCCTCTTAACTACATAGAAAAAAAAGTTTTAACCCCGTTTGTAGATGGAAACTTAGCGGTTGGAAGTGTTAGACTCTTAATGACACAGCCTTTTACACAATCATTAAGTCTTCGTTCGCATCTACAACTTGGCAGAATTACTGCAAAGCTAAGAGCATTAAAAACCGTTTTATAATCACCACTGCATACCAACTACTAGACATCAGCATGACATTCAGTACCAACTCTAATGAATGAATAGTACATAGTTTATTTTTGCCAGAAGGTGCACAAAATTCACTGAGAAATCCATTTGTTTGACAGAAAATAACCAACTTACTTCATGAACGAAATAAATAAATAAATGCTAGACAGTAAGGAAAATAGTACATGAATGTAACAATAACTGGTCTATGGAAAATAATTTCTAAGCTTCTTAATAATTTATAATGAAATATATTTATAAAATAATGAACCAGAACTAAGATTTAAATGATTAACTTGAGGATTAGGAGATTGGTTTTCTAATGAATGCGATAAACTAACTACTATCAAATTTCATCTGAGTACTGAACAGTAACTTTTGTAGGCAAAAAACAGGACATTGATTCCCACATTTCTCAAATACAAACATTGAGAATTTGTTAATTGAAGTCTTGCTACAAGGCTACTTTTTACAGATACATTTTTTACTTCCTTTTTATTCGATGGTACTTACTATCAGACAGCACTAAAAGTCTTAAGTGCCAATCAATGGTCTATTTAAATAACTGAAATTCCACTCGGTATTGTTTTTTTTCGAATGATAATGCTTAGACTTAATATCAACCGAATTTTAGTTCTGTTTTGACTACGAAACATTGAACTACAGTGGCATGGAACCGAAAATGTATTTAACATAATTTGACAGTGACCATAACTGGTGTTCAGCTCGTATGGGCAGCTTACCAAACGGTTTCAGCGAAATCAGTCCTAAGCATAACACTGACTGTATTCTGAAACCTAAATAATCAACGTGCCAAAATTAACCATGCCCCAACTAACTGTTCTACCGAAACAAAAAAAACTGTCCTCGTGGATTATCAACATATGTATGCACAGAAATAACCAGGTTTAATTTGGAAGCTCAAAACGCAAAACAGATTATTCTAACCATATAGTATTCCCCAGTATACGTTTGATTGGGCCTTTTTATAATTTAATGATTTCAATCCTATGTAACCCAGACTGCTTTGATGATATGACATAGTTAACAAAAAGTAACTGAAAAACTAGGGCTGTTAAACAAAAATAGCCTACTTTTATCTGATTCAAGCCTGTTACCAGACTGGCGTCCTCGAAAATGTGATCTGTTATCCTCTATCAGTTGACTGTCAAAGCTAAAGAGATTAAGGGATAATAAATTAAATGTCAAAAATAACCAAAACAAATTAACTTTGATTCCTATTTTTAAGACAATCTACTCGGTAGACCATCTCAATTATATTTAGAATTCTACGCACCGCCCCCTAAATGCCCTGGTACGGCCGAGGGTGGGGGAGCACTCTCCCTCTTCAAATTATCGTATGGCCACCGGCAAACAGTCACTGTCAGGGAAACCTTACTAGTTACCTAGCGGTGGGGGTGTTGTTCACGAAATTAAGAGAAAGAAAAATGAATGACAGGAGCTTAAACTGGGCTAGTGAGTATATAGGATCTACATTGGGAGGTTGGATAAACCTTATCCGAAACCAGTGGTCCATACGCGTCCCAGGATCCTGAGGGAACATATAGGATATGTACCTAATCTTGGTCACCAGTTACTATGGGACCGCTTCTCCTAACGTTGCTGTCGTAATGTCGGTTGCTATGCACGCCCACATAGCTTATTCTAGCCTCTGGACAGATCAGTCTATTCATTCTTTTCTAGGCACATTTTACCGTCACTTATTCACTTACCAACCTTGACTGATTCTATGTGAGCGTATGTGTGCATTTCTTATATTAGTCATTACGTCGGGCTCACCACATTAATGACCCATTATCTGACCTCAGGTATATCGTTTGCTGCTTGCTATCGAAATATACATGTCGCCAATCCTCGTATATAACCATCGACTTAGATCGCGATGTGGTGAATGATGGAATTAAATAAATACGAGAATGGATTTTTGAATACGTACAATCGTTGATCTGAAAGCGAAGCAAAACGAAGTGATGTAAAATGTGATCGATAAACGAACTCACCAATGATAAAGTAAAACGCCCACCACCACATTAACTTTCATTGACCTTGTATGACCATATCTTGTTTATTCACCAATCACAATTTTATGTTCATTATAAAACAATATTTGCCTTGTTGACTCATTTTTCCTATCCTCTAGTTACTGTTCGGTATGTTGCTTATGTCTGTTTTTCTCCGTGTTAATAGACTGTACTATTTATTTTGTATACTAACGGTGTTAATTTATGTTTTAAAAACAGATAAAGTTTATCAAGCCAAATAGCTTACTTGTTCTGACTTTGGTTAAACCAAGACTGTGGTCGACAGTCTACAGAATAGTTTAGAGTTACACCTGTAGGAAATCGCTTCTTACAATGATGCACAATGGAGTCGGCTCACTCGGTGTACATAGCAACCGACAGTATACTCTACTGCCTTGTGGATTAGACCTACAGGTCAACGTCGCGGAGAATAACGGCCCTCTAAGATCACCTCTGGTTCGGGATCCGGGTAGTATCCTAGCCCACGCAAATTCAATGGTCTGAGTGGCCCATACATACGTTAGTTTCCTTTTGTACCAATATTTGTGCCTAAAAAATATATAAGTAATCCTGCACAACAGTGAATGACGTTGATCGGTATGTCATTCGTTTTACTGACACCAGGTATCTAGATCCCAGTAACCCAGACAAGCTGGAGAAGTTTAAAGCAAGAGATGATCGTGTATTTTGGTCATCAAGTTTTGCCTCTCGAAAAGAACACGTCTCTGCTATCCTCAATAAGTAAATAACATAAGTCAAAAAATCACATGGAACACATGCAACCCTGGTTCCTATTAATAGGCGCTCCAAAGTCTTGAATCCGTTCTTATCACTTCAGAGTATGATTAAAATACCTCCAACGACTATCTACACTTCCCGGTGGACAAAGAGTCAACCTGGAACTTAAGTATAACAACTACGACACTAGTTATGATCTATCTACTAACATTAGTGCGCTTAGCGTAAAGATCTTGTTGACGAGAAATCTATTAAGCCAAAGAATGATCAAAACGTAGAGACATGCTTCACAATAAGCCGTTGTCTTGTAAAAACTAACGATGGGAAAATTCTAATAGAAAGTGACACGTAACTACAAAGTTTTAGTAGTACAAATAAGAACGTAATTCTTGGATGTGCCGGAACTGGTACTGGAATATAAGTTAGTCAAGGATAGACTTGATATGAATGTAAATTCATTCAAATTGTCATGGCTTAATTCAGCAGAGGAAATATCATGGAATATGACCTATACAAATGTGATACATAATTCCCATTGTGTGAAACACTACAAGCTAATGAGATCTATTTGGCAGGATTGGTAGACACGTCCATAACCCGGGTAGACAGAACTCCAGTCAACAATACCATCTCTCCAGAATTTGTTTGTAGCCTTTTCAAACATATTGATCATTATTAACGGTTCCTTAAAAGTCAACATAAAATCAACTAGATACACTAATATGACTAACCATATAAAGTATGTCTTAATGATAAACGTAAAGTGGTTTTATTAACAAAAAAACGGCATTCAAAAATCGTAAATTTAACTTACGAATCGTTTTCTTCAAGCTCGTGTTTTTGTATTGATGTAGGCACCGATGAAACCAAGATCACTATGCATAACAAAACCAAAGGGGCCTGAAGCCAAAGACCCATTCTGAAATGAAATAACTTTCCGTTAGCCCATGAAAAGTAGGTAGTTGGGATATCGTCGAATGACTTGTCCAAGTAAATGAGTCGAAGATTGTGCCTTCACGAATTCCAGACGGAAATAGGATAGCATTCTACTTTGCCAGGTTAGTGCGAAAAGTCACTAAACAAATTACTCAACTAACAGGCAACCCAACCAGACCGAAACCGTAAAGTAAATAAAATGCTAATAGGTTACACGGTCATGACGCACACATAGGACTAGTTATCAAGAACATTGTACAACTTTCATTCAGATACACAGAAGTCAACTTTACATTCCTCAAAGAAATTTCGAGGTAACAACAAAAGATGATGACGAACACATAGTACTATTACCGATTTTGACTAAGTGCTTTAATGAAATCTCAAGTAGATTTCTACACACATTCTTAGTTTGAAAAAGTTCATAAGGGAGCTAGGGAGAGTTGGTCTACGAACATCACTAAATTGTACATTTTATGGTTGGCCCAAATTGAAGTGTATATTTCATTTTAGCGTATTCCATAAACTTGCAACAGACCAAGCACCATCCCATGCATTTAAGCTAATGGAAACGCCTACTTATTAAAGAGATTTCTCAAACCAGTGTTTTGAAAACCTTATTTGACGTGGTATAACATGTTGCCAGCGAAAAAAGTAGTCTGACGCCATTTGTGTTTAATTTGCTGACTAACAATCCGTAAAGGAAATTCAGCTTAGAACACTGACCAGTAGTTTGCAGAAGAATCGCAAGATTTAGATCATGATTTTTAATCGATGTAGACTTTGTTTTTGGAATCATATAACCGGCACTTCCAAATAAAAGATTTAGTGTAATGTCTAATGTACCTTGACTCAACATAAAAGTCCTGATCACATAAACAGATAGTTAATCCATGTAAAGGTTTTTCTAATTTAAGAATTCTTTTTACACATAATGGTTGAGTTACAATTAGGCCTAGAAAACACAATCAGTTCATAACGAATCCCCATCAATAACCAGCTACCACCCTACAGGACAATCAGTCACCTCCACACTGCAGCTCCAACCCTCAAAAACCGTCATACTCAATGATGAATAAAGTCCATAGAGCACATAATTCTTACTTTACGACTCCAGACTTGATTTCACTAACAACATACATATTCGAAAATAAAAACAAATGATGATTACTACCTTAATAAATGCGGCGACTAATAAATAATAGAATAGAAATCCACACTTGATGACATTCAAAGAATTCTAAGTTCGTTCAGCCTGTTAAAACATACGGTATGTGTCACTATGATTCAGGATCGGTGTCAGTATAATTCTGATTGGTCTTTCAAATAATCGATTGTCTAACTTGTACAATGGCCAATCAACAGTCAGTGAGCGATAAACTGACACACTATCCCACTTCTTGAATGTTGTTTGCTATAGGAACAAGTCCAAGTTGTTTGGCCCATTAAGAACGTGTGTTTGGTGAATATGTATGCAAAAAGATGTTCTGAGGTCTGACTTTTAATGACGTGAACATGTGATAGGCTAACGGCTTCGCAAAATCCATGTTAGTGTTGCTGCCGAAGCCATTGGTAGTGTACCGAAAAGAGCTCTCAAACACTATGTAGGTGATTGAGCTTCCGAGAAATTTTGGTTAGACTTCTGGTATGACTATGCCTTGGGGAGAAAACATATGAGCGAACAACATTGTTTCTAACGCGATCATCAAGCTCTAATATGACATGAATATTTATAGGAAAATACTAGACCAATCATATAGATATGTGTGATGACAATCTAATTGGGAACAAATATTGTTCGCTTATTTTCATTATGGGAATCTCTAATACTTTAACGTTCCTGTCAATTTCCCCAAATATCCATGTTTCACTGGTAGTACTTTTGCCTTCGTCTGCAGCAAAAAAAACTGTCAAAATTCAACCAGGTCTCCTAATTCAACAATATGATGAGTAGTATATCAGCAACTTATGCGCGTTTAGAAATGTAGCGAAGATATCTCAAACTGATAAATCTGTTTAAATCAGTCTATAGATTCGGTACTCATGATTTATCCATCTTTCAACCTCATTATTTCCTTGGAAAAACACAGATCAGATGACCAAGTGGACAGTTGAAATTATTTAAATTTTTCTCTGAGATTATCCCGAATTTAGTTTTTACATTTAATTAGTTGTGCTCCTATTTCGGATTAGTATTCCTTCAATTGTTTATTCGGTTTCACGCAAATGCATTGATTCCTTTGACATTTTAGTCAATTCCTATGAATTGTTGCATAATCATATAACCGTGTTGGAAATTCGAAATTTACTCTGTCCATCACAATAGTATTGATTCCCTTAGTCAAATATATAATTTAGCGTTAGGAATTCAGTGTGTTATCACTGATATGCATCTACTAAAATATTTCTCAACTATGGGATCTTCGCTAACCTTGTGTTGTTGCACTATATTCAGATTTGAACATTCAACATAACTCCTGATAGATTTATATTATTTCTTTTGTTCCTTTCAGTTTTTTTATTTGAAGTCTTGCGCGGTACAATGTCATTTTTTCTATCTGTTTGTCTCCTTACTTAGCAGTCTGACGAACGGCAGTGTGAGAGTGCTCAAGTTTTTGGAAAATATTCTAGGTTAGTCCGTCTTTGGAGTCAGATCTAGTGAACAGAATCCTTAATAACCTTGAAGAATTGCAATACAGACACCAGAGAATCCTATTTAGCTGGTACAAACGTACGGTCGTGCTTTAAATGGTATGCCAAACTCTCACTAGTGTCGGGTAGAAACAGGTATCTATCTCAGTACAATGGAAGATGGTCGCGCGATTTCGTGAATTGGTTGAGGTTAGACATTAACACCATTGGATACCGGCTCAGTGGTCCAGTAGGTTAAGCGTTCGCGCGCGAGACTGGAGGCCCTCGTTCGAATCCCGCGAGCAGGATCGTGGATGCGCACTGCCGAGGGGTCCCACAATAGAACGAAACAGTCGTCCAGTGCTTCCAGGTTTTCAATAGTGGTCTAGCATCAATCGCTTCATGATCTCAATCAAAAAAATCTCAATAACTGTTTAGACACATACTCAAATTACCATATGGTAGAATTAGTGACTAGATATTACCAGCTGAAATCTAACTAAACAGACCAATAAAACACCAAGCCTGATCAATTTTGTGAAACTATTTCTGTTTTAGTGGTTAAAAGAAGCGAAGTTATCTGTTTGAAAATTGTTTTTTGAAGTTTCGCTCTTAGACTATTTATTTTCTGCTTAAAATCGTGCTACTCGTCAAGAGTAGGTAGTTCGATTTATTGTTGTAACGAGTTATACTCCACATATTTTAACATGTACATTCATCTTTCTACCTCAATTAAGTACTTTTATCACCCTTACTTATAATTTTATCCCTCCCAAACATTTTCCTCCTGGATCCAACTATTCGCAAAAACAACTCACTTTTCATGTTGTTTGTGACTTTAAAGTGTAGCCAACACCTAAATGCCTCGCGATTCAAGGTTTTTAAATTCAGAATGTTCATTCTGACATTTACTGCAGCACTAGGTAGTTTACATCTTTTGATTTTAGAGATTAGCCTAAACCTTATCTCTTGGCTAAATTTCACTTGAGAGCCGCCTACTTGGAATAAAGGATATTCGGCTTGATTAGCACAGTGATCCACTGTAATTTCATGCTCTCTCTTGGTTTTGAGTAACAGTAATTCTGCTTGCGTGTCTTTGTCTTTTCGAAGCATATTTTCAATACCCAGCCTACCGCATAAACATCGCTACTACATTATTTTGACCATTTTACCACTGATCTTCCAAACTTCTTGTCGTGCTAAAGTAGTATAGAAACTTAAGTTAAAACACAAAGCTGTTCCATACCCCATGTTGATAATGATAGACTGACCGTTTGACGTACAAACCATAGTTGACAACAGCATCTAGTACATTAAGGTCACCTAATATTAGTTGGACGAGTAAATGTTTCTTGAGAAACGGACATCATACGGTCAGTCATCTACAACGTAGGACCAAACACATATATGCATTGGTCCGAGTTGCTCTACCTCAGCACAACAAGATGAACACCAAATTCATAGAAGCAGTTACTTCAATGGTAGTACCATATAAAAAAGAATGTGTATAAGGATATGATACAGAGAGAACCAGTTCGTAGAAAGAAACGTATATAGTACTTTTAATCTCATTGTTTAATGAGAAAAGTGTATACACCTACGCCATTATGGTCGATTCTAAGCCATGTTGCCTAGTCTCCAACCTTCATACAATTAAGTTAGAAATTCGAAGAAACAAACACTACAACGGATCAAAATTAACAACAGTAGTATTTCAGGTAAACAAAACAGAACACGTTGACTATCTGAATTTGATTATTCAGACTAAGTGGAAAGATCTTTGAGATCGCTTGTTGTAGACGTCAAATAAATTTGTTTTGAAAATTATGTATATACGTATGGTACCGCTCAAAACCTTACGACTCGGCGTAGCCACAATAATAATGAGAGTTAAAAACTTACTAAAGAAAACTCACAGATACTGCACAAAAACGCAGTTAACGCTACAAAGTGCTTAAGATTGAGAGGGTAATAAGAATTGAATACATTCGTCCAAATGTTTCTGATTTCCAACCAACTCACGCAAAGTTTGCTATCTGTATTTAGGACTCATCAGTTGCCTTACCAAGCCTAATGCTGCATTAAGGGTTAAGAATTATACAAAATCATACACTTACAAACACACTCGATAAAGCTTCACAACCTTACCAAGTGTCCTTTGGATACGTCTTATCTGGAATCGGTTTGTTATGCAACTTTCACCTAAATAACTGGTTGACTTTCAAGCATCCTATAATGGATCTAACTATAAATGTCAATGCAAGCGAAATATCTAGATTTATTTGGGTCAGTGTTTTGGTAAGGACCGAACATCAAAATTAGTTATATTCAATAATCCACAATATATTGCAGTATATTACCATTGGTTACTTAGTGTGACCTTTACTCTCTCTTGACTGACCAGTCGTCAACTAACACGTAGCATTCATACTATTACGACTGAGAATCTTGTGTTTCTACTTTGTAAGTGATATTCATCAGGAAAGAAGACTAGATAGCGAGTAGACAGATGTTACGCCCTAGTATGGGACTGTTCTGGAGTAGGCATCTACGACTCCATCATGGCTCGACCCCACAAAACCCATTCATCCAAACTGTAGCAAACTCACAGGTGACTTACTTCGAAATGCGCTTATGAAGTTCTAGTGGGAAGTCACGATTAGTAAAGTTCAAACATGTTGTTATAATTCTCTCTTACGGTTATAACCCAGCTATTCCGATTGCTTAGTATTCTCGGACACCGATTCGCCCGACAAGTCCCCCAAATCAGAACACGGTTGTACAGGAAAAGAGATTACATTCCAAACAACAAGGTTAGATGGAAGTAAGTAGCACAATAGGAAGAACGTTACTATATTTATAGTTTTTGCATGGGAAGATTCTAGAGTATTCTCCAAAGTATCGACTAGTGCTGATTGGATAAGAATTAGCCAATCAGCGCGCACCAAAGCAATTGAACATGCTTAAATCCAGTCTATGTCCCGCTAACACATGTCTAGAGTGAAACCAACTAGCTATTTCTCTGTGATACTAACGGATAAATTTCCAACAAATCATATACACTTACAATTTTGCTACCATTATTATGATCATTTTCAACTCTCCAATTCATGTGCACGTTCTATGATTTTACTAAACACCGACTCAAGTATCCCGAACAGATTCATCTAATTGTAGTAGAAAGCCTGATGAAAAGTTACCGAATATATTTGTTGGAATCTTTTGTGGATTTTCTGATTGAGTGAGCTTTTAAAAAGATAAATACCTATCAATTTATTGAGTATTACCTTATCACTTATGAAAAACTTCGACAGACGATAGACAATATGATCATCGCTTTCATTTCTTTTAAGAAATAGTGCTTCCTAGCTGCAAGAAAGTTAGTACGCAGAATTATAAGTTGACATGATGAGTTGCATTATGGACCCGACTTATTAAAGCTACGCACAACTCATCTTGGAGCTAGTCCCAGTTGAGTGCAGGATTATTTAGAAATAGTTTCGGCATTCATTTCGGATCTCCAAAGATATACGACCATTAAACCACTCAGCACATATTTCTAAAGCTATAATACTATTTTTGAGAAAGGATCAAGAAAAAGACTCGAGCTCTCTTCGGTTATCAGACGGAACTATGTTCATAAATTTGTGCTTTATTATCAAGCAACATTAAGTATGATGGGAAAAACAGAAACTACTCACCTATTACGTCATGCTTACAATGACAAAACCAATTTCAACATAAGTTTCCTCATTTTATTGATTAATACAGAAACATATTAAGAGGGTGGGATAATATTTGCAACTGTAAGTTCATAATTTCAGATATTTGATCAAGGAGCTAAAGTGTAAACTTATTATTTTCCATGAAAACTTTACTTAAACGTAGACCTTTATTTACACTCACGAACCCTTTTGGACCAATATTTCCATCCCCAGAAAACTTGTCATTACAGATTATATCATACCTGTCACTACATTTAGCAAAGTGTTCAGTGGGACTTAATAGCTAAATAATGAATTGAATGCTAAATCCAAGTGACGAGGGAAGGGGTACAAACGTTCAGAAGTAAATTCGGAATCAGTTTCTAAAATCTTAACATGAAATCTGGGGGGGGGGTTAGCATACGCTAATGAGTCTTAAGACAAACCAATCAGAGTACTTAACAGTTTTGTTACTTCAGAATAAAACATTGAACCGTCAACTTCAGAGGAATGTTGTTCATAACAAAACCAGACTACCTAATTGTCTAGTAATACTTCATCTAAACAATCAGCTCACTAGCTCTTTATGAGAAATTTACCACAGAATGTAAACTCATTTTGACATAGTTGTATTTTAAAAATACAACTAATTTACAATTGCGATATAATACAGAAAACAAGGATATGTTTCTTTACATCTAAATTTTCAGTTTAGAAAGCGAAGTTTTTCCAGAGTATATCCTGAAAAAGTCTAGTTACTAGTTACCACTTTCGGGTCTGATGATGCCATTGTAGACAACTTCTTAGTAGTTTGCATATACGCTTGCATAAATTTTGAGGCACATCTATCTAAACAAACTGCTTCACCTTTAGTTAGATCACCATCATTATAATTAGATGGAATACATTTAGCTAGACAGCTACTTGTCATACTGGTAAATACTTGTTGCATCATTTCGATTTCAAACATTTGCATTTGTCTTTCAACAGCTTTATCACCTTTGGTCGACATTATGATTACGATGTTTGTTTGTTCACAGTCACGATTTTAAAATTAGCCAATTTATCAGCCTACAAACGAACATTTGAATAATAAAGAAATTAACGGAATGTTAACACAATACTTTAAGCAAATAAATGGTAATCTTGTTTCAAGTTTAAAAGTGAACAATAAAACAAATTGTGGTTAGGTTTAAAAGGGAAATGTTGATAAGATCACTTGCCGAAAACCATGGGAAACTTATAAATGCAAACACAAAGGTTTCGATAAGTACTTATAGAGGTAACTAATTAGTTAAAGCACTCAACATTCAAATATTTCAGTACAGTTACGAACTCCAATTTAGTCTAAACAGTTTACATGGATAAAAGTTTGGCCGAAAGTTGAATATACAAACTAGTACCTATTGATATTGCTTTTACTGTTGGGATAAAAAAGTAAAGAAAACAACTGAAATATATCAGTCAGTCAGTCAGCTACAACGTAGGACCAGGCACATGTATGCATCGGCCCAGGTTGCCATACCTCATTAGCACAGCAAGATGAACACCGGATTCATAGGAGTGGTTAGGTCAAAGGTGGTAATATATAGGAGAAAGATTGCAATAAGGATATAGTATAGGAAGAAAGAATTAGTTCGTAGAAAGAAAGATGTGAAGTGATCTTAATCTCTTAGTTTAAGGGAAGACAGGGAGTGTATACACCGACGCCATTGTGATCGATTCTGAGCCATGTCACCAAGAGTCTCCAACCATTGGTTACGAAAGTCACGCGGCCCCCAACCAAGTAGTCTGCATCTACCAACATGGCTCAGACTAGAAGTTAGTGACTTCAGGCACTGATGCCACGTTTTGGTTTGGCCGCCCCTAACTTTCTTCCAACCATCCCCTACACCGGTTAGCATTGCACGTCGCGGTAATCGGTGTTCAGGCATACGTAATACGTGGCCCAACCATCTCAGTCGATGAAGATTCATAACCTCATCAACTGATTTACCATCATTCCCTAATACCCTGCGTCTAACCTCACTATTATTTACCCGGTGATCCCAGCAGATGCCAGCAATATTTCTAAGGCATCTGTGGTCAAATACTAGTAGCTTACGGGTGTCTTCTACTCTTAAGGGCCATGTTTCGCTGCCGTAAATTAAAACAGAACGGACAGCCGCGCAGTATACTCGTCCTTTTATTGATAGACGGATATCGGTTATGTAGTCTTATTTTAACCTCATATTGTTTACCTTCTCCTGTAAAATCTGTTTGGAAGTATTTGACATTAGCAGAAAAGTAAGTTAAAACGAATGCAAGGTGGTAATTCAACAACGGTTTAAACTCGTAACTACATAGTGATCCGACAAACATACTGAAAGCTAGTTTGATGCATGGAATAATATAAAAAATTTAAAACAAAGGTTAAGGCTTAGAGATTAAGTACATATATTTTGACGCATTTAATTTAGTTATTTATAAATACAACCAATGTATTAGGGAATGAAGATATAAAGAAATAACCAAGGGCATCATTTTTTGTTCTAAAGTAATTTATTATCAGTACTTTTTGAGTACAGAAACAAAAAGGGTAATGCTATATCTCCTCATTGTGTAAACCTTTCAGTGTTGTTTGTATTCAGAGGTGTAAAGGCTTTTTTGTACTTATTTCCGTCGGATTTTTGCTTTCAGTTACAGTAACACATAAACCTCAGCCTTTTGTGTTCAGCGTCTGTTACCTTTAAGGTCTTAAAAAATACTTATTCTAGAGATCAGATTTTTGTTCTCTTTGTGAGATCAATACACAATTTTATGGCGCGAGTAAAACATCGTTGTGGTAGACCCGCGTGTCTTTTCCTGATCTAGGACGTAGTGCAATGTGACAACTGCAACAAGTGATATCACAACATGTGCACCGGACTCACACCGGCCGCATATAAAAGGTGCTGCAACCCACTATCACGTTGTCTGTGCAAAGTATGCTGCTCCACAAAGTCTCTGCTGAGTTTTGAAGTGGTTGAACATAGCTAAAAAGATGCCCTCAGATAAATAGCCAGAAGCAGATTAAGTTTTCAGTTTTTGGGGAAGCAGTGAGTATTATCATGAGTCCAACTTTGGATTTTAATGAAACCATCAAGATGGACCCAAATAGCGTAGTGGATAACAAACAGATGTAGGCATGGTTACCGGAAAAAGCATGCTGAGAAGAAACAAATTATAGGGAGCTCTAAGAGATATGAGTCGACGGTTTCATGTCCGGATTCACATACCAATGCAAAATAGACTATTGAGGAGCAAAGTCTGAGCGGTGTAGATGATGTGACCAAGAGACAAAATAAGGTCGATGAACTACTTACAATTACACCCAGAAAGAAAAGTAAGTAAACAAAGTGAGACATTCGCGTCTGACTCCAAATTGAATTGTAGGAATGGAGATATTTTAAGAAGCGAAACCTCGCAGCATGTTAAGACGGGTCTCTGTGACAAGTCAGCCATTTTTCATAAGTTAAGAGAACCTTCCAAAAAGAAACAAAGGTTGGACACGACTTAAGCCACATTAAGCCCTTAATAAGCAAACTGCTTCCAGAAACGGTAGGAGTTAACATCTATAAGCTTTGTACAATAGAGAAACAAGTGGACTCCGAGAGCGCGCAGAAAAGCTGCCTCTTAAAAGTTACCTTAGCTCCTGCTAAAGAAACCTAATGCTGGAAAACGCACGCAAACTGACTGGGTCCAGAATAGATGTCCGTGAGGATCTCAGACTGGTTGGTCGTATTAAGAGTTATTATTATTACTTATTATTTAGACGCATAAAGATTAGTACAAGAAGACACCAAATAGATATACGCCACATAAATCGTTTGGTTTGTGTGAGGGCTGAAATACTCCCTGGGTGCCCAAACCGGATCACGTGGTTTTCTTAGAAGGTCAAACCCGGAGCCTTCGACCTAAAGGTCTAATCCACACGGCAGTGGAACAAAGTCAGCAGATGCAGTCCCATGATAGTCGGTGACCAAAAACTGGTTCATACGCCATTTGTTCCCTCAGCACACTGGAGTCCATGTGCACCATTGGTTTGGAATCAGGGTTTCCCAACTCCTCTAGGTGGACTGTCTGTGTCCATCAACCCGGTTAAAGCGCAGGACATTCTCTTCTCGTCCTCTCAATTTTGTCAACAACAGTAATGCCGTGAGAAGACAGTGAGTAGGACTTCCATGGCAGTGGTTTTATGCACGTGACCATGTGAGGGCATTTCTAGCGGGAGAGCTGACTCTCCCCAATCTCGGCCGTACCAGAGTATTTGGGGGCGGCAGAGGTAGAAATGAATGAGCACCGCTAGAACGGTGAAAAAACTTACACTTAAGGGTTTCCACACCGTAGAAGTTCGGAGCGAAACGATCCTCAAACCACTCTGGGTGGTGAGGGAAGGTTATTTACAGAAATAAATGTGTATACAAATGCTTGCAGCCTGCCTAATAAAATGCCGGAGCTCAAACCAGTGGTGGACACAGACTTTGATGTGGTTGACATTTCAGAAACATGGTAACGTCAGAAGTGTATGATAGTGAAATTCAGTTGCTTGATTTCTTACTTAGCAGGACTGATAGACTAAACCGTAGGTGTGGTGGGGTTATCCTACACACGAAAAGCACTTTAACCATACGAGCTGTCGAGACAGTGGTACACGACTCAGAGACATATGAACCGGTGCGCTGCATGGTCAAATGTAAGCGGCAAGATATTGAATCAGTTGTAGTATACCGCAGTCCAGAATGTGTAGTGGGTGACTTGCTTCTAAGCAAAATTAAGTGCTGGTGTAATAGGGGTAAAACTCTTATAATAGGCAACTTTAATGCACCGTACATAAATTGGGGAAACTTAGAAGTGGGGATATCAACATCATTCGATTGCGGATTGTTAGAAACTGCAATCTCCCCAGCTTTATTCTAGCACATTAGAGATCCAACTAGATATGACCTACACAACTCATCTCTCTTGGGCCTAGTCTTCAAACACAGGGACGATGTCAATCAAATAAATTTCCTCCACCTTTAAGGAGAAGTGATCTTGCTGTAATCTTATTTAAATTCATGGCTGAGATGGCCTGTCAAACAGTTGTGTCGGTCTGTTCTAACATATAGAACGCAGGAATGAATGAGACCATCTCTGCAGCCTCGGTTGAGAACTGGATAATTGACTCAGGGGCATGGGTTCATTTCCGGCAGTAATACAACCAAGTAACTCAGCCATTCATACCCTGGACAGTCCCAAAGAAGAAGAGGCACAGCCATCCCTGGATAAACAGGGATATTAGATGTTTACTAAGGCAAAAGAAGAAATGTTGAAACATCGCCATTAGCCTTGACACAGCCAGTACGATGGGACGCTACAGGTCAGTAAGAGCCAAGTGTATGATTACGATCGGAGAAGCTCGGAGAAAGCGTGAAAAGCAATTAGCCCAATCTGTGAGACTATCCTCGTACATAAATTACAGAAAAACGACGCAACATTGAATTCCTAAATTAATTACGGAAGAAAGTGGATCTCAAATGACAGAGGATGATCAGGAAAAAGCAGAGGATATGGCAAACTATTTCGGGATAGTTTTCACTCAGAAGCACCTTATAGATGAAAATATACACCCAAATACAAAGTCAAAAAATCGTCTGCTCACTGTGGACTTCAATTGAGACGATGTTTTTAAGGCCCTTAACACCCTAGACACAGAAAAGTCAGAAAGACCAGATGAATTTCATCCGAAAATACTGAGGCAACTTACACATTATATTGCTGCCCCATTGACTACGATATTCAATGTGACTTGGCCAAGGTAAGTTGCCTATAGACTGGAAGGATACAATTATCACTCCAATACATAAAACAGGATCAAGCCAACTTTCATCAAACTACAGACCTGTCAGTCTCACCAGTGTAGTAGTTAAAATACTGGGAAGAATGACCAAAAAGACCATAATGGCATTCGTGGAAAGCAACAACTTATTAAACAGTGAACAACATCGTTTCAGGAAAGATTTATCTTGCACAACAAATCACCTTATAGCATGAGAGAAATGGATACACTCTAGATAATGGAAAATCAGTGGGTGTTTTCCACATAGACTTCAACAAAGCATTTGATAAGGTGCCAAACTGGTTTAAAAATTGATTGATGCTTATCGACGCGGCCAAGTGTGTCTACATGCACTTTGGGGACACAAAGGAAAATAGGTACAGAGTAGGAGGAGTGCCTGTACCAGTAGTCCGGTCTCACAAGGATCTTGGGATGACATTGAGTCATGATCTTAGGACCACAACCCACTACCGTGAAGTTAAAGCTTAGTGGTTTAGAACCCTATAGGCCTTAAGACGGATATTCACCAAGTTAGACACTACTATGTTCACTACAGTATACACATGTGTAAACTAAGGTTGCAACTTTAGTGAGAACTAAACATGGGAAGTGTCCAGGCAGGAAGCTCCTGTTCAAAAGGTGGCTCAGACATCCTGGGAAAAGTACATAGGGCAGCTACCCGTGCAACTTCAGAACTCCGGGGTTTACCATACAAAGAGCGGCTTGCAAAGCTAGACCTCTTTACCCTACCGCAGATTAAGAGTTGATGTGATCACGATGCATAGAATACTAAGAAATGACTTTGCACCCAATATATTTTTTCCTCTTCTTCCTACCAGATGGGGACAACTCAGAGGACACAGAAGGCGAGTAGAAAAGCCAAGAAAGAACAAAATACCTGAGGCATACAGGTTTTTACACAGAGTGGTCAATTCTTGGAACCTGTTGCCCGAAGCAGTAGTGTTAGCACCTTCAATTAACCCATTCAATAGAAGACTATAAACTCACAAAAGCATACTGGAAAATCAATAACATAGGCCGTAGGCCTGCTGTCCTTACTACACAAATATGAATTAAATTTAATTAAGCTTGATGTTATTGATCATCCAGTGATTTCACCGCATTTTTAGTTGATTATTCTATAATCTGCAAATAAAAATAGCACATACTAAGATGCTCTCAATATGAAGGAAATGTGATGGTCAACCTTACAAAACTACGAAGGCTTGCCAGTGAAACGATGCCAACTCATTTGTTTTTGCGGTGCTCTAATTTGACCTAGAACCTTTGCAATATCCAATGAATATATGAAAAGCTTGAGTAAACTGATCGGTTCTTTTGCGCTCGCTTCTTGTTATTTCGCAAGACTCCAAGTATTCGGTAATGTTTAACGAGTGGTAGTCTAACCACTCAACTTCACTAGTTCTAGTCAGTTTCGCAGTACTTATTTATGGGTTTTTAAATCTTATGGTTTGAGTGTGTGCGTTTGTCTTAAGGCAGTAGGGTTTCTTGGTACTAGCAGTTACCAAATTACCAGTCAGGTTGGCCAGCTGCTCGCATCATGTGAAGTAACTGGGTAAAAATTCGAGTGCTAGGAGATGATTGTTTCAACAGATGAATAAGTACTCACTACTAACTAATTGATAGTCGAGAGAGTGTGAGAAAACTGGGGCTAAGAATTTGAGTGGAAATGAGGATGATAATATGGAAGGTAAGAGGTGGTTACTGATATGTGATAATCATAATAGTAGGTAAATTATGAGATATGCATCAGGCATAGCTGGTTCAGGAGACAGATGGTAATCCATGGGTAAGTATTTGTTGGTTAAGTCTCCTCTTGTAGCTATTCATTGTTTGAGGCTGTGCTCACTTCTGCTTGGGAAGTATTCCAAGTGGAGACAGCTCTTAGTGTAAGGAACTGGGATCTTACACGGCTTTTCCGATATTTTATGTGCAACTTTCTGGGGTTGCTTCGCGGTGTGTGATGGTGATGTTGTTGTGGGGTGTTCACGTCGGCGCGACTTAGCATATTCAGTGTGTCATATGATATCAGATTACCTCATATTCCGATGCAGCTTAGCGAGGATAATTCCAGGTTTTGGAGCCTATCTTCTTGAGAATTACACTCTAAATCTACCAACCACACGATTGCTTGTTCCTGTACGTGGTCTAATAGATTTGTATCCCTTATGAAAAGAGGGAAAGCAACGGAATTGTAAACCATGGGGTGCGGTTGTGCGTACGTTCTCAGGTGTTAGGAACAACTCTGGGATGACTGCGTCAAGTTGTCGTCGCATGAAGTGGTCAGCTACGTCTTGCTCTGGCTGAACACCCCATAAAGTTTGAGTAGGTGTTTAAGTACTTCGTGGTTACGGACGCGAGATCACGCTCTGAAGGTGTAATTGCTTTGTATCAAATGTAACAGAATGTTCATTATATGACACTTCGACAAGTGAAGTTCTGACTGACTGTCCACTGCCTATTCTACTATTGTTGCAAGGTCCTTTTGAAGCCCAAGTGAATCTTTTTCGCTTTACATGGGCCTTCAGATCTTCTCGTTGTCTGCATAGATCAGCGTTGCTGGGTTTGTCTCGTCTAACAGGTCGTTAGTAAGGACCAGGAATAGGAATGGACCTAAGATTGTTCCTTGCGAAACAACTGATGTTTAGACCTTTCGGCTCGCACGCACCCTATTCACCTCGGTATAAAATGTCATATTCTCAACTTAGTTTCTAGGCAAAATCAGAGGCGAGTCAGTGAAACCTATATTTGTAGCTATCGGAAAATATGTGCAGTAGTGTTGAAGGCTTTTGTGAAATCAAAGAATACTACACGAACCGGTATCATGTGTTCCTGGTAGGTCATCCTGCTTCCTCATGCTATGAGGAGACTAGACGCACGAGACCTGCATTTTTGAACCCGTTTTGAACTCCATGGAGGATGTCATTTTAATCCGTACATTATCTAATTTATCGACAGGTCGCCTTTAACAGCATTGAAAGTAATGATACTGGTCTGTAGCCACTCCTTCGATGGTTTGAGGAGAGGTGACCTGGTTTCATTCTCTCGGCAGTTGGTGTGAATCTAGTGGGTGCCTGAAAGGGCCACACGCCAGTGTGCTGATAGTTTCCGCACACTGATTCAGGATTATATATCGGGTGTTGTCATATCCTAGTGACTTTCCTGGGCACAGGGATTTCCACCTCTTTAATACTGACCCGGGAGTTGTTGGACTCTCAACTGGCACTACAGCTGAGAAATGTTCCTCACTTACTGGCTTCTAGTTCTGTTGGTCAACGAAGTTGGCTTCAAAGTTCTCTGCAATCTTTGAGTTAGTGTGATAGCCATTTGGCCCTCTAAGAACACAGATCTCGTGGTTTGTAGGCTTTCATCCAGTCGTTAATCTGTAGAGATATTTGTGGTTAGCTTGCGTTTCGGAGGCTAGCCTGGCCCTCCTATCGCTTTGAACTTTGGCGTAGCATCTGAGTTGCATTTGTTTCGAGTAACAGCTGCGGTCATCATCCTTCAGAAGGACCCTCCGTCTATGCCAGGCTCATCGTTTAGCCTGTACTAATCGTTCTGTGACTCGCCTAAACTAGGATATTCACATTCAAGATATCTGCTTTAACTGAGGTGCGTCATGTAGGATGGCGTTTTGATTGATATTCTCCACCATCTCCTAGTGGTCATTCACCATTAGCCTCTATCACTCTCGTCGAAGAGAACGAGAATGTAGGCAGAGAGTAATTATGATAGCAATAAAGGAGCGAAGTATTTAGTGCAGAGTTTTATGCACATTACGAAAGAACCCTGTAATTTTGCACTGAATAATCTAGTTATGCTCTCGTTCACTACAATGTGGCCATGTGGCGTGTTGAAGATGCTCCGTAGAGTAGCGTCGTTCTGTTTTTTATAAACATTTATGACGTTGTTGCTGTGTGACTCTTCCGAGTTATGAATCTTCGTCATCTCCAGATATCCCCCCCGTGTTTATCAGTACTTTCACATCTGCATCAGACCCTCCTTATCAGTGATACCTCCTAGGTACGTAAACGTTTCCACCTCTTACAAAGCTTCGTCATCGAGTGTAATTTGTTTGAGGCTGACTGTTGCAGGTCGCCCTTATGCATTACTTTATGTTCAGTCCGCCGTACTAGTCCCGTTTGATGGTCATGATCTTATCAAATACTCGTCCTATAGTGTCGAGGGAGGTTCTATAAGGATCTCGTATCCACTCTGTCAAGTGCTTTCTCTCGAGTCTTTTGGAAGAGGACGCAGAACAAATTCTCAGTGAATTTTGTGTTTAACTTCAGTGCTTCAGCTAGCATGCTACCTGGTCCAGTTGCCCTCATTTCGACCATGTCTAAAGGCTTATTTCTTCAATTGCTGATGGGATAAAATCTATCGGAATATCTGAGTGTGCTGCATTGACGTCCGATGGTCTCTGTGTGGCTGGTCTATTTAAGAGCTCTTCAATGCGTTCTGTCCACCTGCTGTGTTGATCTGCGATCTCAGTGATTAGTTCGCCTTGTTTATTCTTTACTGGTCACCCTGATCTATCATATTTTACAGTTAATTTTCAAGTTGTGTCACATAATTCTTTTACATTTTTTTAATACCTTGTCACTATTTCTTTTGTTTTTGCAGTGTCATCCACACATTTTCGCTCATCAGTTCCAGTTTTTCGGTTTACCTGCCTGGTTGTCTCTGTGTATTCGGCTTGTTCCCTGACTCATTGATTTCTGGTTTCTTGTCCACCTTTTTTCCAATCTTCCTCAGGCTATCAGTAGAGATTGACACTTCCTGCTGCACCTGGCTACATATTATCACCTAATACGTCGAAGTTATCGCTTCTTTGATATCCCCCATTTTGTTTCCCATAATAGGTTTTTGCTCTTCTTGTCGGGCTCGCCAATCTAATTTATGGCCTACTTCGTTATTAGTACTGCTCTAATGGTAGATTTGTCATGATGTAACTGCCCAATCTATAGGATCTTACGTGGAATTCACATCATTGTCTACACTGACTCATCGTATAGTAACAATCACCACCGTATGATGGAGAACACATTTAAGTTCAAGATAAAACAATATACTTGATATGGATAAAAGTAATGTTACGTATTTACATAAGGCCTGGTCACGGCAGCAAAGCCGAGCCATGCCATCCGATGGATTCAGTTTCGAGTGAATGTTACCGCGTTCACCTTTATTGACCTTCTCACAGTGTTACATATTGATAGTCTATTTTCTTAATTATCTCATGTTCGGCTTTGCGGACTATGATTAGGTTCCGAAGTCACTACACATCCTTTAAAACTTTGAACTTACTACTGAGAGCTATCTCGTGTTAATGAGTTCGGTAGCATCGCGAAGGAAGGCCATAATAAGGTTTTGCGGTTTCGTTAGTCTTATGCTTCCTTAGCTTCAGTTTTAACTTAGCCACTACTAAGTTGCGGTCTGGAGTCACATAAGCTGCTCTCTGTGTTCTCATATATTTTACTGATGCAAACTTGGTCGATTTCGTTCCATGTTGTGTTCCGGAGAAATCCTTGTAGTTTTATGTATGCGTTTGTGGAGGAATATAATCCTATCTATAATTATTTTGTGGTGATTTGAAACTATATTTACTCCTATCTTGAATCCTATGCTTTTCAAGTGCTCTGAAAATTATTTGATGGTACGGGCGTGACTGGCATGGCTCTCCGTTAAATAATCTGGCAAAAATCCATGTGGTTTTATAGGGTCTAGGTCTGGCCTGGTAGCAGTGAGCTTATCTATGCCATTGAAACAGTAGACCTAACCCACATAGAAACCACATCACTTTCCACACTGAATCGTTCTATCATGTCAGTGTGCCTTTTATAGAACCATCACAGCACAAATTCGAGATGGAAATAGGACGACATTTGAAATTCTATCTAGTATTTATGATACAGTTCATTCGAATCCTGCTACTAAATTGTTTGCTCATCTATATTTTCTCTCTCTCTTTTTAAAGTCAATTTAATATTCCTCCAAATGTCTCGGAACCTGTTTAAAAATGGTGAATATTATGTAAATATTACTGACACTCTTAACTGAGCTTGCACTTCTGATGAAATCCGAAATAGATTTTCGAAGTATTTGGATAGGTTGTTCCATAAAAATAACAACACTTTATGTCAAAAGTAAGAGGAGACGTAAAATGACCACGCCTAAATGGGCTAGTGATACCACCTCGAATGTGTGTTCTCTCTTCGACCGTTCTTGACGGTTAACGCAAGTCTTCTCCGTTCAG